CCCTGCCGCGGTGAACGCGCTGGTCAGGTCATCGCCGTGCTGCTGTTGTTGTTGTTGTTGTTGTTGTTGTTGGTGGTGACGATCGGGTTTCATATCCACTTATGAGAATCGAATTTCGACGCGTGTTTCCAAAACAAGGCCGTGGTGGCTTATTGTCCGTCCTGGACCTGCGTCGTGCCGTCGGGGGCCTCGTCGCCGTCGTCGGGGATGACGATGAAGACGTGTCCGTGGTAATGAGACCGCGGCCAGGCCGGTCATCCCCCGCGGCCCCGCCGTCGCAGGTAAGGCTGAGGGAAGGACCGCGCCGCCGTTAAAAACAAACAATTAGCACCTCCCCCGCGGCCCTGCCATGGCCCTGCCCCGCGCGCCCACTTGAACCCTTCCCCTGGCTCGGCCCTCCCTCTCCCTTTCCCCGCTCGCCGCGGCCGGGCACAAAAAATGATGCGGCTTAATTAAGAGAGGTGCTCCCGCGTATCCCGCCCACAGCCACTGGTCCCGGGGGAGCCCTGGCCGGCCCGCGCGGCGGGAAGCACGGAAGGGTTGGTTCCGCGGCCGGGCCATGGCCGCCGTGTTGGCGGATATTGCAGGTCGTCGAGGGCCGCGTAAAGGTGTGTTTGCGGGGGCGGGGCGGCCTGGGGGCGGCCTTGATGAGGGGGCGGCACGGCACGGCACGGCGGCGCGCTGGTGGATGAAGTCATTGGCCGTCGCGTCACCGTCGGCCCGGCCGTCAGTCCGTGCGTCGGGCGCGGAAAAACTCGTCTAATGAATCATGTGCGGGGCGTGGACTCGGCGAGGACTGCCCGGACTCCGGCTCGTAGATCTGGTGCAGTGTGCAGTGCGCCGGCACTGCCGCCGCCTCGGCGCGGCACTGGCACGCTGGCACGCTTGAAGCTTGAAGGGCAGTCTGCCGGCAAATGCCACCAGGAAGTCGTATATTCCCTTCCCCGGCGTGCCCCGCCAGGCTGCCCCGCCAGGCCGCCACTCCCCCGCACTCGCTGGCCACCAATCGGACGGCGGGCGAAGTGGCCGACGTGGAGGCGGATTCGCCGGACGCGTCGTCGACGGCGACGTGACCGCGACCTCGGCCTTGTCCGAGGCGCTGGCGCACTGGCGCACGTGCGCCGCGTTACGCATGCAGGGCGGCCAGTCAGGCCGACGAGACGCGACGCGACGGACGAGTTTCGGCCGACGGCACCGACGGCAGCCCGACGCGTACACGTGTTCTGTCATGTCCGACACGCACTCCGCGCGGGGCGGGGCGGGGCGCGGGGCGGCGTAATGCTAATCATGGCGGGGCGCGGCGCGTCGGCGCGTCGCGGGGGCGGCCGGGCCTTGGGCCGGGCAGGTGCGCGTCGTCCTCCCTCCCGGACGCCGACGGGATAAAGGGTTTGGCGCGCAGGGTGGCGGGCGCCCTGATGACGGGGTTCTCGGCCTCACCCGCGTCCAAGTCTCCGGCCGGCCCGAGCTCGCCTCACTTCCGAGGGGCGTAACGCGTAGCGCCGAGCTGTATCATTTCGCTGAAATTGAATAAAATTTAAAAATTAAAGCGGTTTTTGACAGTGTCGGGATAGGGTTATAGGCTGCCGGAAGCGGCCGATGCGTCGCGGGCTTTTAATTCCGGGTAGGCGGTCAAGGGCCGAGCGGCCGAGGGCGGCCGAGGGCGGCCGAGGGACGGGGTCATTAGGTGGCCCTTCCCCGCCTCCGTCGCCGCCCTCGACTCCCTCGTCGCCCCGATTACGGAATTAGCGTTGATTCGGCCGGGTGGGTGTCACTGCGGTAACCGCGGTAACCATCGTCAGAGAGACATAAACACGTCAATTATTTCATTACTGTCCCCTCGTTCTGTTGTTGCCCCTTTTTCTTTTCCGCGGGCACGCGCCCCGGGCGATGCGGCGGTGCAGGCGGTGCAGTGGGGGAGTCTGCCGAGGTCCGCCCCCGCCCCGCCTCGCCACGCTGCCATGCCTTTCAACGGCGACGTTTGCGAATGACTCTGTCGTCGGCGACAACGAGGGTCGTGGTGTCGTCACCGCGCGGAATGGCCAATTTGGAAGGGCGGGCAGGTGCTTCTGTGTGTGTGTGTGTGTGTATGTGTGTGTTTTCGGCCTGAGGCGCCACCCCGAGGCACCCCACTGCCCTTCACCTTGCACTCCCCTCAAGGCGGCATACAGGACATGAGCCCCGTCCCGTTTGAGCCCCGATGGTCTGAGCCCCGACCTGAGCCCCAACCTGAGCCCGGGTTGAGCCCCGACTTGAGCCCCGACCCAAGCCCCAATTTCCAGAGCCCGGATTGAGCCCCGACCTGAGCCCCGTTTGAGCCCCGTTTGAGCCCCACTTGAGCCCCACTTGAGCCCCATAGCAATAAATTACGCAAAAATGCGTGATTTCAGGTCGCGGGGCTCAAATGGGGCTCAAGTGGGGCTCAAACGGGGCTCAAACGGGGCTCAGGTCGGGGCTCAATCCGGGCTCTGGAAATTGGGGCTTGGGTCGGGGCTCAAGTCGGGGCTCAACCCGGGCTCAGGTTGGGGCTCAGGTCGGGGCTCAGACCATCGGGGCTCAAACGGGACGGGGCTCATGTCCTGTATGCCCTCAAGGCCCTACTGCTGCCCGATGGCCCCGCGGCGCGCCCATGTGATTACGACCGTGTGTGTGAGAGAGAAAGTGTGATAGTGTGTGCGTGTGTGTGTGTGTGTGCCCTTGGCGCCCTTCAATTCGGCCACCCCCCGTCATCAAGCTAAACGCCGCGCTACCGCTGCCAGCCTCACCCCTTCGTTGTGTGTGTGCGTGTGTGTGTGTGTGTCGTCAACGGCTGTTTGTAGGTAATTAGCCCGAGGTGCCCCGTGGCCAGTGCAGGCGCGCAGGCAGGCGGGCATTGCTGGCGGCACAGGGTTGGAGTGGCAGGTGCCCGCCGTGCCCGGCCGGCGAGGCGGCCAGAGGCCAGAGGCGGCCAGGGGCAGCGCTTGATACAAATAAGCCGGTAGCACGATCCCCGCGCCAGCGCGCCGTAGCTGGACTCGGCTTCGCCCACTCCATTTGGGTCAGTCAGGTTGGTTAGGGTGGTTAGGGCATCGGGCGCGGCAAGGGGGTGAGTGAGGGTGCGGACCGAGGCCCAATTGGAATTTCGTTTCATGCGCGATATTGTGTTGGCTGCATTTGCTGCCCGCGCTGTCGGAATGTCTTTTTGATTTCCCCTTCTCTTGCCCCCCCCCCCCCCCCGTTCCGCTGCCGCCCGCGAACGCCTTTTGGCCCCGTGCGGGGCGGGGCGGGGCGGGGTCGCGCTGCTGCTGCGGAGGTGGAGTAAAAACAAGGGAGGGCGATTTGTAATTAGGGTATCATTAGCAGGTGCTTAATGGGGTGCGTGTATTAATAACAGTCGTTGCCGCGTAATTGCTTTTAGATACGGCCGTTTAATTTGGGCAGCGCGATAGCAGTGATAACAGTGCAGCGGATGGCGGGCGAGCAGGGTGTCGCCCGAAGGTGTTGCCTTTGCGCATTGAAAGTCCTGAAAGGGGCCAAGATGTGCGGCTGCCTTGTTGTTGTTATTGTTTTCCCTTCAGTTTGCGTTCCTCGTGCTGCCTCTTTTTTTTTTGCCCGCCGTTGTCGGAAAGGGACGCCGGGCCGCGCGCTCGGCGAAATCGGAAGGAAGGGTCCTGGCCGCGGAGACCGAGAGAATGGCGAGCGGAAGACATTAATTAGTAAATTAATGATAACAATCTGTTGGTCGCAGTTTGTAGCATTATCCGGCAGGCAGGGAATGCCGTCCTGACCTACATGTTCGTTAACACTACTGCTGAATACGTCGAGCGGCATTCCTCCCCCATGCCGCATTCTTTGCGCGCCTTTTGCTTCGTTTTCTTGGGGGAACGTCTAGGCCCGGCGCGGCCCCGCCCGGCTGGCCCAGTTCTAGGCGGCCGGCCCGGCCCGCCCCGGCCCGGGGCATCCAGTGTCGACCATAAACGTCACAGTGCCGCGACCCTTGGGCCCTGGGCGCCGCGTCGTGCCAACAGTCACCAACAGTGGAGCAACACGTGCCCGGCCTGGTTCCCCTAACTCAAGTCGCGCCGTGTCCCGCCGTAACTTTTCCAACGACTTTGTGGCGATGTAGGCCCTCAGCGAGGCCACCCGATTCGGATGAGCTGAGCGCGGCTGAGCTGCGGCGGCGGCGCGGCTCGGGCTGATCCCGTCGGCTGTCTCTCTCGCACTCGCGGGGAGTGCCGTGTGGGTGCGAGTGAGACAGCCCGCTGCGTGGTCGCGGGGGGAGGCATGCCTGTTACGTATTACGGGACGCCGGGCCCGAAAACGCGTCTATTCCAGAGTCCTGTCGCCGAAGCGCACCCCGCGCCGCCCCGCGCACACACGTGCCATATTTCTTTGTTTCGTTTCCGCCCCGGCGGCCCTAGCGGCCCTCGCGGCCCCCGCGGCCCCGGCGATGAGATTAGACCGGTGCGATTCATCACTCGCGAACACGGCGCAGGTCGTATTAAAGCCCGGCATGATGGTACGGCACTACACTAGCAGCGCGGCAGCGCGGCGATGAGTGAAACGGCCCACATAAATCCCCCACACGGCACGGCACGGCGCGGCGCGGTGCTGCGAGTCTATCCCTCGTAGATTAAACGTGTCGTTGTGTGTCCGACGACGTTAACGCGGCCGCGAGTATTTCTGGGGCTGCTTGGCGGGCCGGGCGTTGATGTCGTCATGTAGTGCGGGCAGGCCTTGCGGGCAGGCCGTGGTGGAGCCCATTCGCCGTGCTGTAGCACGCAGTACTTGCAGTTGGCGCGCGGCGGGGCGCGCACGGCACCGCAGGTGGAAAACGAATTTGAGGCCCGGACGCCGAGAAATAGAAGGATGTGGCTGTACCCCACGCTCCGGAGAACGAGCCTCCTCCAAAGTGGCGCGGGGTATCGTCGCCGCCACCGGGGTCCTCACCAGATCGATGGATCGACCTATGCAGAAATACACTGCAAAAAAATGTTGACTGGCGTGTGTTCTCTGTGTTGCAGACGGCGCTGCACTGGGCCGCCAAGCACGGCAACGAGGACGTCATCAAGCTGATCGCCGGCACGCACCAGGCCGACGTCAACGTGCGCTCGGTACGCCACTCCGCCATTCTACTTTGGACTCTTTCCTGACGGTGTGGCCGCCCTGGCCGCGCCTCGTGTGGCCGCGGGGAAGGCTCGCCGCTTCTCCGGCCGCCGTCGTGTTGGCCCGGTTTTGATGGCCGAGGAGGGCGTGCCGACGGCGTGCCGACGGACACAGGTAGCCGCGGCGGTAGCCGGCCAGCCGGCCCCGGGGCGGAATGCACCTGGCCGGCGTCCTGGCCGGCGACCGGGTCATCGTCGTGCAGCCCCGCGGCCGTCGCGTAAGTGCGCGGCTCCCACTTCGGAAGCCGCCACGCCGCCACCGCGCCGCGGGCCACGCGCTGCCTTCCCCGCGCCGCCCCGCGCCGCCCCGGCCGAAGCGGTTACGATTACGGCCGTGGAAAGCGAGGCCACGAAGCAGGCCATCTCCGCGGCTATCTTGATGCGGCGCAGGAATTTGGGGTGTCGGATTGCTTTGTAAGTGGTGCTAACGTACTAACTCTTGCTGCCGTTTCTCTCCGTGTTTGTTTCCGTGCGCTGCTGCCGCCGCCGCTGCCGCTGCTGGACCCGCTGCATCCCCTGCCGGACGGCCGCCGCCTGCAGAACGGGGTAAGTGTGGCGCTCTGTGCCGCAGCCCAGCGCAGCCACTCCATGGAGCCCACGCCCCACTCCGCGCTCATCCGCAGCCGCGCTGCTGCGCTCGTGAAACGGAGCCGCGTATTAATTTCAGCTTTATTACGCGCTATAAACTGCGAAATAGATTTTTTGTCACTTCCCCCTCTCGCGCGGCGACGGCCTGCCTGCCTGCCTGCCTGCCTGCCGTGGGGAACTTCACATATGCCACCCCTTTTAAAGCGGGGTGAAGCGTGCATTTCAATCTCGGGGTGTCATATTTCACCCCTTTTGCATCCGCGCGGGGACGGGCAGGCCGGGCACACCACCCCTGTGGACTGACTCCGAACAGCGGTCTCGCCGCCGTCTCTCTCGCTCCCCCTGCGAGACCCCTGTGAGCGCGGGCCGCGGGAGAGACAGAGCGACGAAACAGCGGTTCGGATGGCGCCAGCAGGCTGGCGGACTGGCGACCCTCTCTGCCGGCCGCCCCCGCCCCGCCCCACTGCAAGTGTCGCCCGGTCCGTCGCGGCGCCGCGGCCCGCAGTGGCGCGAACTCATTCGCATTTGGAATAACAAAGTGCAAAGTGCGAAACGGCAGGCCGGCGTCGATACCCCGTGCGTGGACACCCTGGACACCGCGAGCAGTGTGACGCGGGGTATCGTCGCGGCACCCATGCGCGGTGGTGGGCGTGCGTTGCGTGTGTCTGAAGTCTGAGGCAGGCAGCCAGAAGAAGCGTAGCGTCCCAATGCATGAGTGAGTAATGCTCCTTCAGCCGCAGCCGCGCCGTCGTATCTCAAGATGGGCCGCCCCGCCCACGCCGCGCCCAGCCAGCGGCCTCGCGCCGACCCCAACCCAACCCCGGCCCGGCCCGCGACGATCGCAACCCTTCGCGCTGCCGGCACCAGGCCGCCCAGGCCCAGGCCGCCCAGCGGGCTAAATAGAAAATTAGTTTGGTCTTTGAGCGAACGGCTCGGCCGGAACCGCACCGCGGCGGGGACTGGGGACGGATCCCTTACAGAAATGGATTTGTGGAAGGTGGTCGATAAGTGGTACTGCGGACCACTTTTTCGCCCCTTTTCATACCCCTTTTGACCAAAATCACCCACTGCGACCCTCTTCGTTCATTTTAACCCCTTCGTGACCCCGTTTTCTCCTCTCAAAGAGACGAGGGGCCCTTTTCAGTACCCCCTTTTTGCTGCTCAAGCTCAGGGGGTCCTCCAACGGACGTGGACCCCTTTTCTTCACGCGAAGGGGGTCCAAAAAGGGGTGCCTGTGACGCGATGCAGAACGGCGCAGGTGATGACTCTCCATGCACGCCACCAAGTTGCTATTCAGAGGAGTGACGGTCACGATGTCGCGGCTTTCCAAGTCCTGCAAAGTCCTGGTCTCTATGAGAGGATGGCGTTCTATAATTAGAATCTGGTTCTAGCCTCAGGTCTATCGTAAATTTTCATATTCGCGCGAATTATTGTTTCTGTAACTGGAGAAAGAAACCGCGGACCTGGACCTGGGGAAAGGAAGGGGGGGGGGGGGGGAGCGATGTCGCAATACTCTTCTTTTTTCGTTTTCGGATACGCGCCCGGCAAGGAAAACAAGCCTGGCGTTCTAAGTCCAGACTTGTAGAAGCATATGGGCGGCGCGCGGACCCTCTGACAGGAGAAGCGCTATGGCTCAGGTGTAAAGAGGAGGTCTCATAACAGAAAGGTCCGAGGATCGAATCCCGACTACAGCGTCGGTTCGCCTACGCGGAGCATGCCCCGCACACACTTTTGGCACTTTCTTTGGAACCCACCTCAGGCCCCCTTTTGGACCCCTTTCTCGCGGCTAAAAGGGTGTGTGCGGCTAGACACCTTTTAGTGGTGCATCTAGGAGGTACCGTGAGAACCCCTTTTTTGACACACTTTATCACCCACTTTTAGCACCCAACAACGACGTGATCCATTTCTGTAAGGGGACGGAACGGAGCGGCAAGCCGCAGGCCTGATGGCACGAGTGCAGTGCAGTGTACGAGAGGCTTCAATTTCAAAATGAAATGTTATGGTCTTCACAGCGGGGTGCGGGCAGGGGTGTCAGCCAGAGTGGCAAACATATTCAGGCGAACCGCGCTGCTCTGTCTGTGTGTGTGAGCGCGCCATGCGGGGGGCGTGGCGGGGCGGGGCGCGTCGCGGGGTCGAGTCTGTGCCTGCGACGGCGATATACGAATTGCTTACATTAGTGCGCTGCGCACTGTACTGCCTGGCACGCCACGCCCAGAGGTGTGCATCTTCCGGCAGAGCGCCCTCTACCAAAGGGTTCGCCCGCTACGCCACCACGCCACGCCCCGCCCCCGGCCATTGTATTCGCATTGGTGTGACGACGGCATGTGTATCGGAATTTGGTTGGACGGCGGGCGCGCGGGGCGGGGCGGGGCCGGGACTTCTGATGACTTTATCGGAACGAACGACGAGGCGCTCGCAATGCGCTCGGTCCTCGACGGCCACCTCCACGTCCCGCGCGCTCGGCCCGGCCGTCGCAGTGACACATTGCGCGTGCAGTCATTTGGCGGCCTGTAGCCGTCTCACACACACAAGCACACACACACGAACACACGCAGTCGCCACCGCGCGTGCAATTTCGTTAAATGGCCCGGCCTAATAGTCACTTTATCAGCCCAATCCAAATAGACATGGTGGCGGGGCGATTTGTAAATCAATTCGCCTCTTTGGCGGGGCGGGGCGGGCGCGGGCGGGGTGCCTCTGCTGAGACGGGGCGTGGCCGGAGCGGGGAGCCGCATCTGGCGCCGTGTGTGTCGCGGGGGTAATGCCTCCGCACACACACACACTCACACACACACACGCAGTCACGCAGCGCCCCCGCCACTTGATCCGTGTCCCGATCATCTTCCCCTGTCGCGGACTGTCTTCGACGACCGCGCCGCCCTCCGCGCGCGGCACGCCGAGTGCCGAATCGAACCGGATCGCGTCGCCACTTCGCCTCACTGCTTGTTTTACGGCCCAGTAGTAAACGGCGAGGGCCTTTTTATGCGGGGCGGAGCGGGGCTTGATTAACTCCAGTCCGCTCGCGACAAGTGCACCGCTGCAGGGCGTCGCAGGCGTTGCAGCGGGGACGGCGCCTAAACGACGTGTGCGGTTGCTGCAGGGTGGCCACGCTAGCGCTCATCGGCTTGGCTTTGGCCAGCCTGCTGTGGGCTCATGCCTGCCGCCGGGCTGCCTGCCACTGCCTGCACTACAAATGACACGGGGTGGAATCGATTGGGTTTGGGCGGGGCCGGGCGGGGCCCTTGCCTTTGCGCAGTGTCGGCCCAGCGAGGGCCTCGAGCACCCCTTCCCTGCCCGTCCCTTGGCGGCGCGGCAGGCGCGCCACCCTCCCCGGGGACACCTAGACCGGCCGGACCAAAGTCTATGCACTCCACTTTGACTTGCAGCCCCGGCCTGGCCCCGGCCCCCGACGTCCTCCGAGGGGTTGGCAACCCTGTGGCGGACCCGTCGCCGCCCCCACCGCCGCCCCCGGGAGGCTGAGGCTGTGCACACTATGCTAATACGCGGCCATCTGCCCCCAGCCGGGCGGCCGGGCCGGGCCCTCGGTGGCTTTATTGGCGCATTCGCGCGGGGTGACTTGGGTCTGCTTTGCGCGGCCTCTCTGGCCTCTCCAGCCTCTGCAGCTCGCGTTGGGCGCTAGAGAGTCGTCGGCCTAGGGAAGAGAGGCGAGGCATCTCCTCCAGGGCGTGTCGCATCGCGCGGCCCGTCGCGCTCGAGAGATGTAAGTCATGTACGGCGCGGCGCGGTGCCACAGGCCAGGGATGTACGTCGCGTGGCTGGCGGCGCACCAGGGCGGCACGGCCACGGGCACGGCCACAGCACGGCGTCGAGGTGCGCCGATGTCGCGGTGCGCCGCCGCCGCGCGCTCCCGCTCCACTTGTCCGACACGCGCGCCGTGCCTTGCCGCGCCGTGTCGTGTCGCGTCCTTGTCGCGCCGTGTCGCGCGAATCGGATTCGGATCGGGTCGACCGGAGTCGCCGCGTCCAGTGCGTATGTCAGCGCGTGTCCCGTGTCAGATGTCACCGCGGCCCTCGCCCCGCCTGTTGTTGTTGTTTTCGGCGTTTCAATAACCTCTCGCGACAAAGTTGCCTAATGATTGGGTCTGCGTCCGCGAGGGGTGCTTCGCCGTCGGGAACCACCGCGGCGCCGCCGTCGACGCGGACGTGTCGACCGATGATGACGGCCGTGACGGCGGCGGGGAAGAGGTCGCCGTTGATCCGTGACGAGTCGATTACCGCGGCAATCGGATGACGATTGGTCCGTCGCATCGGCCGATCGCCCGATCGGATCGGCGTGTGTAAACACTCGGACACTCGGCGGCCGGGCAGGCCAGCCAGGCAGGGCAGGGCGCGCTGGCCGAGAGGGAACTTTGATTCATTTCCACGGCTCGATTTAATCGTCAGCTAATGACCGCGTTTTGTTTCGGTGCTTGCCTGCCCGGCTTGCCCGGCCTGCTCGCCGCGCGGTGCCCGGCGCACAATGGCAGTGTAGGGACTCGACACTCCGCGCCATTGGGACATCGGGACATCCGAACCATTATGCATGTACATTTCATTTGTCAAATCCTGGAGGGCAGGACGCGGCAGGACGCTGACGCCGAGGCCCAGTCAGGTGGCGGGCTTTACAAATGATGCGATGATGGTGGCTCCGTCTCACTCGCACCCCTGCGCGACGCCGCTCGGGTGCGAGAGAGGCGGAGTGAGCCTGCAGGCGACGCGACGACCAAGGGGTGACTTCTTTGAATGAGGCTCTAATTGGGCCTCCCCGAGGCAGAGAGTCGCTTTCGTCGCTCCGTCTCTCTCGCACTCGCGGGGCGTCCCGTGTAGGTGCGAGAGAGACAGCGACGAAAACGACTGGCCGTGGCGGGCATTCCGGGCTTTGCTCCACTTGGACGTCCTTCCCGGTCCTTCCCGCCGCCTCGCCGTCCTGCAGGCCGTCCTGCAGGCCGTCCGGCCGGAGGCGGTGCAGGGCTGGGCAGGGTGCATTGCGGTGCATCGCCACCACGCCACGGCGCTGCTTCGGAGCATTTCGGACCCCTGGCCGGCCCTGCTGCCCTGGCCTGGCCCTGCCCGCGTCCAGGTCCTGCTCGTCCTGCAGCTCGTGTCGCCATGTCCTTGTCGTCGGCGAGGGTCGCGACCGCGGCGTGTCGATGAGCCATGAATGATTCCGCGCCGCCGGTATGACGGACTGCAGGCTGGCTCCGCGCGTCGCTCCGCCTCCCTCTCTCTCGCACTCGTGGGGCGTCTCGTAAGAGTGCGAGAGAGACAGAGTGACGAGACACTGTGTGGAATCAGACTGCTGCGGCTGACGGGCTGACCTGGCCAGCGCGGCTTGTAGCTTGTAGTTCGAGTTAGGCGACCTGCACGGCTGTTGCAGAATGAATGACTCGGTTTCCCCCCAGCTGCTGTCAGAAAGTCCCAGGGCCAAATCAAATCCGCGTAAATTTTTTAAAAAAATGAAAGTTACTGAACAAATATTTCCACCGTTTTTCGATTAATCTCTGGATTGGGGGGTCATACGAATGGTTGCAGTTGGACCGGTTGGGAACCTTTCTCTGGACGCGGCTCGGATTAGTCGGTGCCGCGTCGGGCAAACATATAAACTAGAGTCCACTAGTGGAAGGGCGAGTTCGTGAGCAAACATGATCATGTGGTGGGTGGGTCCACCGACATCCTTTCATTAGGTTTCGATTCCTGCAGCAGCAGTTATTTGATTGCGCGTGTATGTGTGTGTGCACGTGTCTGTGTGAAGCAGCTTTCGACCAGTGCATCGTCGAGGGGCACGGGCACGCCCCTCGCTGCAAAACTTGGACGATGACTAGACAACGGGTTCACTCGCTCTTCGAGCTCTTCGATCTTTGACCTGCCTACTTCCCGGTGCGACGAATTGAACGGTGTCCTGCTGAGAGAGGGAAGCCCCTTGAGAGAAAAAAAAAACAGAAGTAAAAACACAATCAAAAAAAAAAAAGAAGCAAGTGCGGGAAGAAGTAAAAGCAGCGGGAGGAAAGTAATTAAATAACATGCATCCACAACAATTTCTCTCCGAGGTCCCGGCGGTCATAAATTTAAGAGAGTTCATAGCCTTTGTGGACGGTGGCAGCGAGTCCAGCGAGTCCCGTGTGCTTCTGAGGAAGCGGCCAGGCGCGGCGTGCCGTGGCGTGGCGTGGCGTTCCCTCGGCTCGCTCGCGTTCCTCCAGGAACTTCCTCCACGTCCTGTCTCGCCTTCGAGACTTGGCTCGTTGGCGGTTTGTCGGGATTTTTCGGGTGCGTTTTGGGTGGCAGTTTTGCAGAAGACGGGCCTTGGACTGCGCTAAGCTGCGCGGGGTCGCCTCCACTCGACAGGCTCGTCTCGCTCTGCGTCGCCCTCCACTGCAAGGCCTCGGCGAGGCCCGGGAGGAGTGGCGCCGTGCCGCGCCGTGCCGTGCCGCGCGGTGTGACGCGCTGTGATTTAGTGGCGGCCACCGGATTCCAATTTAGGTGATGCACGCTCCGCGCCGCTCCGCGCTCCGCCCCGGGGCTTACAGGTCCACATTGTCTGCCGTCCCGGAGTCCCTGCCCTTGGCGCCCTTGGCCGGGGATGAGCGCCGAGTCAAGCTGCCGTGCCGACCGACTCCGGAGGCGGCTTCCGGCGCCCTGCCTCTCTCACTCCCTCTCCCCCGTGGGGGCGCGAGAGGGACAGCGCAGCGGAAGCGGTCTCCAGAATGGCTCGGCAGCTCCATAGAGGCGGCTCAAAGCCAAAGCAGCAGCCTTTGGGAGACGCAGCCGCGCAGCCCGCCATTAATTTGCACAGAGCGCATAAATTATCCCATCCCGCATGGAAATAAACGAAACGTCTCCAATTAATTAAAAAGGTAGTCGCCGTGCGGCCCGCGCGGCTTGGGGGTGGGGGTGGCCACGACGGCGACGTGCCGGTGGCTACCAGTGGCGTGCCCGCGGCCCGCCGGCGGAGCGCCGCATGCTACGCCGGCTACGCCGCTGTGGGCACGACGCGGCCGACATGGTCTACGCTCACTGCACACATACGCACGCACGCTCGACGTGTCTGTGTGCACAGCGCGGCAGTGAACGGCCAGAACGGCCGGCAGTCACGCGAATGTGCGAAGCGCGGGAGCGGCGCGACGGGGCGCGCCAGCGGCGTAGCTACAAGCTGCTACACGTGGCTGGAGGTGGCCGCCAACTGTCGCCAACGACGTGTCAACCAGCTCGTCCTGCCGCCGCGGCCGCGGCTACGCCCCTGGGTGGCGGTCCGCCGTGCCGCCGTGCCGCGGTCGCTGCAGTAGGGTTGCCGCCCGGCCCGGCCCGGCCGGTGTGCCTTCACACCTCGCTAACTCGCGGTTCCGGCCCCCGGGACCGCCGGCCGCGACCAGTCCCACTCATATTTTGCATACAAATGAGTCGCTGCGTGGATGAGGGCGCCGGGCCGGCGGGGCACGGCCGCGCCGCCGCACTGCAGGGCACCTGGCTGTGAATTAGCCGGCTAGTCTTTTATTATTATACTGGAAGTAATTTGGCTATTGGCCCGGCCGCCCCGGCGCTTCGTACAACTTGCGTGTGCGCGCGCGTGCGTGCATAATGCCGCAATGTATGTTAACAAGTTGTTCTCGGCGCCGTACAGTACTTTTTTATAGCACGCGTGACGCCCGCTGCACCGCGCCGCGTGTTCTGCGAGCGCGTCAAACAGTGGCGTGGCGTGGCGCGGCGTGCTTCCGTGCCCGACTCCATTTTTTTTCGCCGGGCCCTGCAGGGCCCTGATGCCTGCGGTTTGAGGTCGTGACCAAGTCGTGACTCGGTGCATTTGTCAGGACAGGGCGTACCGCTGGCGGGGCGGTGCCACGGGGGTGCACGTCGAAGCGATCCGTCAGTCCACCAGGAGGCCCTCCGTGGCCACGTTCTTGACCGACCTTGCTGGGCCTTACGACGGGCATTACTTACGTGGCGGGGGCGTCGGGCAAGTCCGGCAGGCAGACGGCTCGGCCGGCGCCGTGACGTCCCCGTGACGTCCCGGTGACCGCCGCGCCGCTTGCCGTCCTGGCCGTCCTGGCCGTCCTGGCCTAGCCCAACGCGGCGCGCCGTGCGGGTGGCCCCGTTTGGCGTGAGAAGCGCCAAACCGGCCCCGGCCAGCGGGCTGCTTTCTGAGCAGTCCGTCGTCGCTCTTTCTCTCTCGCACCCCTAGGGGTCGCCCCGCCAGCGCGACAGAGGCCGAGCGACGAAGGCGCCGTTCGGAGGCAGCTCGGCGGTGTCGCCCCGCCGCCCTGTGACTGGGCCGACGTCGCCGACGTCTGCACGTCCGGCGGGCCGGCGGGCCGATAGCGCACCGCCGCGACGACGCGACGGTGGACGCGACGCGGCGGACGCGACAACGATAGCGTTCTTCGCGAAAGCGGACGAGCCGGGTCCCCGTCTGCCGACTCGCACCCAAATAGAGGATTTTTCTGACAGGTGCATTTCCTCTACCCGAGTCGGTTTCCCTATGTAGGAGCGCTTTCCCCCCAAGAGCACTTTTCCGGCCCGAGAGCGGATTGCCAGTCTAAAGTCTTGCGGGACAGCCTTTGCCGCCTGTGAGGTAGGCCAGCAATCCGTGCGGCAACACACTGGTGTGGAGACGGTGGCCTACCTTGCGCCTGTCGTCTTACTTTACAGGCGCAAGGTAGGCCACCGTCTTCACACCGGTGTGTTGTGGCTTGGATTGCTGGCCTACCTCACAGGCGCTACGTAAAGCCCTTACGGGCGACCTCTCTGCTTCTGTTCGCGTGGTGGTCATCGTCGTCCTCGTCATGCTTTCAGTAATGGCTGCTTTCTGTTTCGCAGGGATACACTCCGCTTCACATCGCCATGCAGTTCGGCCACGAGGACATTCACAATCTGCTGGTGCAGGTTTACAGTGAGTACCCTTTGGTTGAAACCGCGTGCGCGCCATGCCTGGAGGGAGCGCCACGCCACGCCACGGCCGCGCCGCTGCACGCCGCCAGCCCGGCGGGTAGGCAACGACGCGGGCGTGCGCGGCGCGGCCGCCGGTTGGGTGGCCTGCCCTCCCGGCGCGTGGCTCGGCGTGGCTCGGCGAGGCTCTGACTGGTTTGTTTGTCCATGTTGCCGCAGGCGCCGACCCCAACATTCGCGACTGGAGCGGACGGAAGCCCCGCCAGTATCAGATGAGCCAGGGCACCTCGGTGTCGGCGGACACGTTCCGCAGTGAGTATCCGGCGGCCGGCCTGGGCCGTGGCCGGGGCCGTGGGCAGGGGCGCGTGCATGCTCAGGGGGCTGGCGGGTCCGGCGGGTACGGCACGCTGCCGGGCAGCGAGGCGGCCAGCGCGACCAGCATCGGGGCGCCCGTCCGACGAGCATCCAGTCTCTCATTCCTTCCCTCTCCCGCACAGCGCATCCGTGCCGCCATGGCGTCTGGCCGCGGGGCGGACCTGGCCCTGGCTACCCTGGCGGACCCCGCGTGGGGCCTCTCGCCGCCGCCCAGCCCCCGGGCCCCCGCGGCCGGCGACGCAGCCTCGGGTACCTCCAGTACCTGGGGTACGCCCCCGCTGGCCCGCAAGCGCTCGGTGCGTGTGCTTGCGCGCCAGGTTGCCGATCAGGTGACGCAGATGACGCGCTCTGTGAGGGGGGGCGGGCAGGGCGGCGTCGCGGGCCGCGGCCGGCGGGGGCGGGGCCGGGGGCGGGCCGCGGACTCCTGACTCTGGCCGCGGCGGGGCTCAGGGGGCGCGTGTCGCTGCATGCGTCGACCGGAAACCTGAACCTGCTGTACTAGGGTGGAGGCTTTGATCTGGAATCTGGCATCTGGGTACGGTGGTTGTATGTACTTCTTTCGGCGCGGACTGTACGTTTTAGGTTGTGGTGGAAATGGAAGCATCCTACAAAGAGGTGGTTTGGTGGATGGTTGGCCGTTGTTTTGAAAAGTAGTTGGTCGGTTTTCCAGTCCTGTAATTTAGAGCCCTTGTGCATGGCAGTACACTAACGGAGATACTTTTGTTTCATACTTAATTTATTTCATTGCACCAGACCTATTCTTGCCATTTGCTTCTCGTTTCATCGATCATTACCTATCTTTTGAAATATCATTTCATATTATTTCTCCTATAATGTTTTGTTCTTGTAATCAGTCAAAATTGTGAGCTCATTGTTGGATAGTTAAGTTGAAGTTATGTATTTAAAGCCTTATCTTATGCTTGTAGGAATCCAGGAGATGGCCTTGAGGCAAGTAATACTAATTAATGGATGGCGTTTGTGTTTTGTTACAATATATTTCTCAGTTTTTAGTGGTTGGTTGGACAGTTTTTAATTCTGTAGTCAACCTATTAAAACTACTGAATGGGTTATGAAATCCAGTTTGGAAACTGTTCAACCTAACAGAATTAGTTTTACCTTTTGTACAAAACAATAATAAATGCCTGTTAGATCGGTTTTGTTTTGTATTGTGCACATGATGATTGTTTACTTGTATAAAACTTTACCTCTTGAACATTTGCTGCATGAAAACATCTTTTTTTCACTTCTCACATTTATGATTTTTCATTCACACCTTATCAGAAGCATTTTCTACTAACCATTACTATCTGCATGCGTGTTCCCCTCGTGGTGACATGAGGGACGAAACCATTCAGTTGCACCTGATCCAGTCATTTCACAGCAAGTTTTCATTAGATGTGTGTGCATTATGCCTGCATGGTCATCGAATCGTCTCACTGCATGTTGCATGCCACAATTATTTCTGCTTTTGGAATGTAAGTTTCTGAGATTTATTTGCTATTGTCAGGATTAAGATGAAAAGGAAAGCCAATGCCTTTTCCTCCCCTGCAATTTGTATAATTAAATTAGTTCCTGAGTCATGCTTCTTTTTTCTTTTTTCAGAAATAAAAGCAAAGAAGAAACATGCAGGTCAGTCTTCTGGTTGGGTTTTTGTGTGCTTGTCTGTTTACCTCAAACTACTGAAAGTAACAAATATTTTTTCGATTATTACAGAAAAGGATTCAGGATTTTTGAGGATTGGTTCTTTGAATGTGAGAGTGAAGAGGACAACTGAAGCCTTCAGCAATTTCCTTGGAGTGGGACAGCAAAATGCAGACAAAATTCACAAAACCTGGGGCTCTGCAGATAATGTTCAACAAGTAGGTGTTGATTTGAACAGATGTGAATGTGAATGATTTATGATTTATGAGAGAAGTTTGTCTAAAAGTAACGCAACCACTTACCACAGGGTGACAGGAGGATGATGCCACCACCACAATTCGCTCCAATCAAGAAGAGGAAGTCAAAACGAGCACAAGATTTTGCCATTTCACACAGTACTCCAAGTACACCGTCTCAACCTCGAGCCAGCATTTCAGAAATTGAAAGGGATTCGGACTCAGATACTGCTGCAGGGTTTGATTCTAACTGGCAGAATTGAATGTTTTCAACCTTAAATTAAAATAATTGAATAGGATCTGTGGATTTTGTTAGATTAATATTTTATTTTTCCTTTGCATTTTACAAGTATTGTTGTTTAAAAAAAATGCTCCTCTAGTAGCCAATGTCCCTATGCCATGAAAAAGTTAATAGACCCTGTGAGAAAAGGGTGGACAGAATTATGTGAAATCAGCCATGTCCAGCCTAGCTTTTTTCACTAGGAGGCGAGTGCAGTGTGTTGGGGGCTTCTAAACCCTTGAAGCTGAATGTGATATAATGTAAGTGTTAGGCTTTCCACTCATGTCTAGTTATACCTGTCATTTCCATTGAAATGATTGGGTACCCCTGCTCAAATAAGTATTGCACAGATTAATGAACTTTATTTTAATATGTATGTTGTGTGTGTATTTATGTGATGGCCTTATATGATCCCGTTAAGCAGCATGTATTATGGTCGAACAAAACACTTAGTTCCAGCCCAATTGGCTTTAGAACTTTGTACTGTATTATATTGTATTTTATTATTACAGGATCCCTGTAATTACTTTTATTGTGTGTGATCAGTGCAAACCAGATGTGCATTACAGAACATAATTATTAAACTGGTTTCATTTTTCCCAAAATAAATATTATTTTTAAAAAAAGTACCTACTATGTGTTTTGGTTTTTCTTTTTTAGCCCTTTCAGACCTCTCTACACTTGTCAGAAACTTGATCTCCCTTAGCAAATTTTCCTTCGAAAAACCAGAGACAGTCAGAGCAGAGCCACCACCCAGTTAGTGGGCCGCCGTCGCCATGTGGTCTCACGCCAGTCGCGCCAGTCCGTATTGGCAACCATTAATTAACTTCATGTTCTTTGGCGGGTGCACCCTACACCTTGCGCACACCGTGGACAATGTCGAAGGGCACTGCGCGGTGCGCCAGGCATCCCCGGACTACCGCGTCACTACCCCCTGCCTTTATAGCCATCCAACCGGCACGCCGGGTGTGTTGCCATGACTACTGACAAATCGAAATTTAGTTGTATGGTAGCTAGTAGACCCAAATCAACTGGAATATAGTTAGCATCAAGCGACTATTTTCCAATTATTGTGCTTGATACCATAGCACTAAAACCATGGCCTCTGACGGTGTACTCTCAAGTAGTTCTCTGGAGATGATTAATAGGGCACCCTTAAGTGAAGAAAAGCATGAACAGCCTCCTAAAATTAAGATATGCCTTGATATAAGTAAACGGTCTTTGTCAGACATCCCTTTATATGATGTTGCAAACTTAAATCATCTGCAGGTACTAAAAGTTATATTATCATGTCTTTTTTTTTGTTTCCTTTTTTAAATTTTGTTGAATATTTCTTGACTGTGCCTTTTTCTAGTTTCTTTACCTTCAAGGAAACACAATTGAAAAGCTTCCAAAAGACTTCTTCTATAGGTTCCCTTCATTGAGGCATTTAGATCTGCGACAGAACTGTCTCATCGAACTGCCTGTATCCATAGCAGGTCATAATTCACTGGAAGTACTGCTTCTTCAAGATAACCGACTCAAATCACTGCCATGTGAACTAGGTGAATTTAAATTTTTAAAATGTGCGATTCATATTACAAGTGTAAGCTTATTTTTTATGGAATTTTCAAATTTTTAGGACAAGTTCCACGGTTGAGAAAACTTCAATTTTCTGGAAATCCTTTGGAGTGGCCTCCACAAAAAATACTGTCAAGCGGTTTGGTATCAATCTTATCCTATTTAAGAAAGGCATTCATGGAACAGCTTAGTACAGGAGATACAGACCCAATACCTAAGGCAAATGACTATGGTAAGGTACCCAAACCAAAAATTACATTTTTTTAAAGTTTCCACATTAATTTTAACCAATTGTTTTTTTTTGTGTGTGTGTTTTTTTTTAAAGAATGCACAAAGGATGAGGAAACTAGAATGCAATTAGTTCAGAGGCCTTTTTTGGAAAAATTATCAACAAAGGCAGTGGCAAAAGATGGAAATTCCCAATCTTATTCAAGTCTGCATTCCCACTGCGAGGACAGCTCAACAGTCAAAACACTAGAGCAAACTGATAAAAAGGACTCCACTGCACTTGTTTATCTAAAGGTTTTGTAATTTGTGCAGTCACAAACATCATTCTCTGATTTTTCATGCTCTGAAGGTTCTTAAAAGTAGAAATTATGCACCTTACAGGGAGGCTCTAAACAGTTAAAAACTCGAGCAAGTTCAAATGTAAATCACACTCAAAATAGAAGTAATACAAAGAGTACATCTCTCAGAGCCTTTGTATCAAGAGGTCATGCACAAGCAATTATAAAAGGTCAAACTTACCCCCTTGGATACAGGAAACGGTAAGCTAGCAAATCCACAATCAGTGGAAATTCATTTGTGGTGACAAGTGCATCTTTTGCGAACCATGTCGTTACATAGGGTGCCAATTCTTATTGCAGTACTGGTCTCTCAACAACAAAAATATATAAAACATTGTTGCAGCAACTGTGGCTAAACCAGTTAAAATACACACTCCAGTCTCAAGATGCAGCTCTTCAGAAACAAAAGTGAAGATAATATTAAAATGATAAAAGTTGATATATTGGGAAAACAATTGCTCAATTCCACTTTCTTTTTTTGTTTCTTTTTTTTTTTAGAACTTCAGAGGCTCTAAAACAATGGCGCCAGGATGCAAGAGAACTCCAGAAAAATAAGTTTGAACACAATTGGTCTGGTAAGTGACAACACCATAGGCCACTATAATTTCTAGTAAAGTGATTGTGTAACAATCAAACTTGGGGATTTCCAGGACTGACTTTTCCATACGATTTGGATGCAAATAGCCTGAAAATGGTTTCTCGAATGGACTGGCAGACTGTAAGATGCAGGAAAACTTCCCTTTTAATCTTTAATTTATCATATACACCAAGTAAACTGCTATACGTTATGCAATGCACTTGTTTTAGTTCCAGAACAAATCATTGGAAAAAAGAGGCCATTCTAAACCAAGCGGCATTTCTTGTACAAGAGCTATGTACGTGTAAACTAACTCAAATGTTCTTTCTATCCAAAACAGGTCATTGGATTAGTCTCTCATCTTGTGTTTGTTTTGTGCTTAGGGGTCTTCAGGAAAAAATCAACCAAATCCTCCGATCCTTCGAAGAAATGAAGTCATCTGATGCAGGCAGCTCACAAAACAGCTTCTTTGACACTGATCCTTCATCTCGATGCAAGATGCTTGCTGAAGAAATGAAAAAGGTAGGACAATAACAGTTTTACAGGCCATGAAAATGATTTGTTTGATGTACACTCTGAAAAATGTATTTTGTATTTCCAGATAAGCAATTTGCAAAAGGCTGTGCGAGCACTTCGTCTTTCAACAGAATGAGATTATTTTAAAATTTCATTGCTTATGGTTGGCAGAGCAGATAGTACTTCAAAACCAGAACAACAGATTTTATGAAGCTATTTTATTCAATTTCTTGCAAATTTTGTCATGCCAAACACTTCAGAGAGACAGCAATTTTGTAGAAAAAAAAAAGCATTAATATTTGGGTTCATGTTCTTGTATAGGGTAATTATGACGAATACAAATATAAGACATACAAAACAAATGAGTCAATATTAGTTACACAAGATACCACAAACATTATGTAGGAACCATCAGGAAAAATTGATAAAGTGATGACAATCAAGAAGACACCACTATGTCTATGAAAAATACTGCTCAAATATCACTTAATCAGTCGTAAATATGTATATAAATATTTATATTACAAACAAACACTAAATAAAGGTATTACTCATGTGCTGCAATTTGAGATTGTTATTCTACAACCCCCAAAATTTCGTATGCAGATACTTAAAACTTCACGAAACACATGACATGAAAGACTGCAGGCAATAATATATTTGAATCTTCCAAGAAGGAATTCAAATGTTCACTGATTTCACTTTAGAAAAGAAGCCCAATGCACAAGAAGGCTACCTACAAACAGTAAAAAGATTTACACTCAACATGAAAATTAAGAAATGTCTCCAGTTCGCCTCATTCGGCAGCTTTATTAGCTTGAGCAATTAGGAATACGATCAAGAGCATGGAAGATCATGAAAAAATATAGGAAGACAAAAAAGGGCTCTTTACGACGTGGTAAGATTTTTGGACAAAAAGAGGAGCATTTGTACTAAGATTAAGGAAAGATGTATCAAAAGTGGAACCGAAACAGAACTCCAACAATTCTGCCAAAAGAGGGTAGTTGAGGAAATCTCGTAGAAGATGCAGTGCTTCCAAAGTGGCTTAGCTTAGATTTTCATAACAAGCAATATATGATTCTTAAATGAACAGTCAAAGTACATAATTACAAACTAATATGACAGAAACAGTCTCAATAACATAAAAAGAAAAACCTTCCTCTCTGTGATGGTACAGTTTCATACATAAAAAGGAATATCAAATTGATCCCCAAACAGGTCTGATCTGACAACAAAACCGGTTATAAATATATAGCTTCTAAAATAACCGAGAATACATCACATGATTGACAGGGATAAGTTTCAAGTACTCTAATGATTAGAGATAGTGGCAGTACAACTTTTTGGATTAAGTTCTTCTATGATGAAACAAAAAACAACACAAACAGCAATAATAAGTTATCTTAATGTTCGATTAGCTGCTTTAGTTAAATTTCGTTTAAAAAGGTTCAGGAGCCCTTGTAAATGAAAGAAATACACCATAATAAGATGGTAATTTACTTATCAGATTGAAGGGATACATATAAAGAAAAGGCATCCAAAAACTGAATTGTGAAAATTAGATTACAAGCAAAACATGGGGCAAAAAAGGCAATGACATTTTAGATTTTTGTATTAAAAAAAGTAGTACTAGTACAAATAAAGGTGGGATGTGCTTCAGTGAGCTGCATTAACAGTAAAATGTCTCCAATTAGATAAAATATGATTTCTTTAAAAAGAAAAAAGAAAGTTGCACCCAATTTGAACCTCGTAACAATAAAATGGACTAGGATGAATAGAGTTTTCGTTTCAAACAGAAAAAAAGAATGGATAAATATCACCACAGACAACATTGTTTCATTTAACAACGGATCCAGCCATTTCATAATACATGTAATTTTTGAAAATACTGGACTTTTTAGATCAAAGATTCAAGGTCAGAAAGATCTTCCCAAGATAACATACGAACTTGACAACCCAGGATGTAAGTCCACAAATCCCAAACGGCCATAAAGTTCTAATGAAATCTGGTCATTGGGTCTAATTGCTATGTGCACACCAAAACAACCTGACGAAAAAAGGAAAAAAAATTAGAAAACACTTAAACTATACCATAGTATAAACTATAACTTTATCTTAGTAAAACAAGAGATGTAAACTCTAAACCCTTGTACTCAGGCTCATACTCACCATTTGCTCTGAGTGCTGCAAGTAAGCAGACAACAAGCCTTTTCAGGGCAGAAGGATCTTGCACAGAAGGAAGAATGCCACAGGTAATTGTTGCTGGGTGAGACATAATGGTTGCCTCAGGAACTTCAACATTATATGAGTGGAACCATCTGATCCTGTCCTGTTAAAAGCAAGGAACACAAAGTGTTAGGACCATGACAAAACAAGTAAAGCAACTATACATAGACTTTGGCTATGATTTTTATAGTACTGTACTGTAATATCATATTAATCTGTAAACAAGAAAAACACTTATACTTACTTGATCTAAACTTGAAGTAAAAGAGCCATCAGGGAATGGGTACTTGGTCTGCATGGATGGTATGAAATCAGTCTTCATTTGAGAGTAAAATTGTTTGGCATCAACTGTTGCAACAGCATAGCCTACAACTTCAAGTTCGTCTTCAATGACCAAGGCAACTAATTGTTCAACATCCAGAACAAAGCCAAGGAAACTAAAAAACAAATAGACAGATATTCAACAGTAAAAGTTTTTCTTCACATTATTAATAAACTGAGCACAATTTCAAAACCAAGATTTGCTCACCTATCATTAACTAGATCTGGGAAAAGGTTTTGATCGCAAGGAGCAGTGGAGTATACTGATTGACAGATCGACCTGATGTGATGTTGGTCAGTCAATAAATTACCAGGACGAATATCGTACATTTTGCTACTTGGTACTTCAGGTACTTTGTAAACAAATAAATCAGTACCTGAATCAACAGGTAGAAGTCTCTGAAATAAGACAAATGAGATAGTGAAAATGATAAGCGCACAAGGAATTCTGAGGGACTCTCACAGCTGACTCAAGTTTTTACCTGCAGGTCGGAAATTAGGCCTCCTCGAAATACCCATGGCTCATGTTCTCCACTCATGAAAGTTTCCTTCCATCCTTTGGAAAACCCTGTGGTAATGCAAGAGGAATTTTTTAAGGAATTTTCAAAATTAAAAGAAATAAGACTGCACAACAGTTTGTAGTAAATACTAACATGTGAAGCTGCTCGGTGTGAAGTTCCCCATCATGTTTGAAAACTTACCCCCACCTAAAATCAATAATTTTTAAAATTAATTTTCAGTCATAATACTTTGAAAACTAATTTATTTGCACAAAACCTTCATGAAACTACTAACCAAGCCACTTGATGAACGAATTCAGCACTGAGATTATGCCACGGAAGTCCCATATGTAAGGATAAATTTCATGAAGAAGCTCCCTATTAGGACTATGTGTCAATTTTAAAAAAAGCTGGTTTACGGATTTTGTCATATCATCAAGCTTTGCTGCCCGGTCGTACCATTCTTGAACCTGAAATAAACCAACAAAAAGTCTATGAATGCACCACACCCCCTATACTGATTGCAGATTGATAATTATAAACAAAATATTGGAATGGGTTGATTAACATATTGCCAAATTGGAAGCAAGTTTGCAATTACTACTACCTCTGGATTCTTCATTGCAGTCTCTGCAACATCAGCACCACAGCCATTGCTTGAGTGGCTCACACAAACCACATGGGCATGTGTTTTCAGCCAATTGAAATCATGCAGGATCTGTGTGCCTGCACTACCATGCTCAAAGGGTAGGTAAAAAAGATCACAAAGAAGAGAAATATCTTCATATGTCATAGAGTCTTTGTCCGATCTAGCAAATAAAAAATTAATTTAGCAACATGTTACATATAGCAGGTAAAATGAAAATACAAAATCTTTGAAACCACTTTCTTACAATTGGTTTAATGCATCAGAGCTGTTCTCATCGACAACCTCACTATCCTGAGCAGTTTCAACCACCATAGTGTTGGAAGCTGACTGGAAATTAGTATTGTCATCTGTTGAATCTACCTGCATAGCTGTACTGCTCCCATTACCAGACACGACCACCTGCAAGTTAAAATTATGACACCATGTGGCATACAAGGTTTAAGGTGTGTGCAATGAGATAATACAAGATAGTACTACATACAGAGCTTCCCGAGCCATTTTCAGCCATAGCAATATCTTCGGTAGATGATGCCGCTGTCTTCACAAGATGAGCAGGGGAACCATTAGGGGTCGGATTGCAGTCCATTGGCTCACAAACGTTATTTGAGGGCAAAGGCAAAGGTAATGGAATTGGCACGGACGGGACTCCGGCTAGACTAACTGTTAATGGCAATGGGAGAGGTGTAGACAGGGGAGGAAGAGCAACAATTTTGCTCTCAGAAGCCAAAGAATTCATGACAGGGGCTGTTATTGGCATGATGGGTACATTTTCCGGCACACTAGGAACCTGAAATAAAAAGACATTACAGACGATTCAAATCAGAGATTTTATAATAAAAGCAAACAGATAAAATCAACTCACAGTGCTACACACTTCGGCCAAGGCTTCTAATTGGGTGGTATTGGGGGGTATAATAGGTGAGGCATCAGTCGAGCTTCCAGAGTACGGAATTGTAGTAGGGTTCAGTAATGATGAGGAAGAAATAGTCTGTGTGGCCGGAGAAGAATTTGCTGCTGCTGTTGTTGTAGTAGTGGTAAGCGTCATACATGTATTGATGGATGGTAAAATTGGAACAGGTATGGGTACAGGGATGACTGGCTGGGGCTTCATAATTGGTCCCCAAGCCTGTTTGGAACGTGAAAACTCAAGGAGCCAGTCATTGATGGCATTGCGTAGGGCCCGTCTCGGATGGTACATGTTAGGAGTCAAGTTAGAGGGTATGTCTTCACCAGTCCCACCATCCTCAGTTTCGGTTTCTAGTTTTATATCAGCAGAGACAGAATCATCTGAAAAAAAGTTTAATAATCAAAAAAAGAAAAGAAAATTTAGGCAAATTTGGATATACAGGATGTGTTTCCAATTTACTTAGGCTTAGATCTCTTTTCCCATCTACATTGCATCTACTCCATTGGGCCAATGTATGGATGCCGACAAAGTTGGGGCCATATTCGCAGTTAGGGTTTGTCATCACGCCTCGTAATTTGCCGATCAATTCTGGAGATCTCCATGAATATGGTCCAAGGAAGACTCGCTTCTGGTCATAGTCGTTTGCATGGAGATTATCCCAAAGTACAGGAGGTCGCCTCATAACCTCAGTTATTTCTTCAATTGATTCTAAAGTCAGAATTCTTGAAACAACTTTTGGTCCTGTAGAATGCAAGAAATAAACTAATTAAATAAAGTAAAAAAAAGAATAAAACTATGAAGCAAAACCATAAATTTTCAGTCGTATTAATTATTTTTTTTTTTTTAAAGGCTGCTGCACTCTAAATAAGAAACATTACCAGTCCACATTATATCAATTTCAGGAAGGAGCTTAGATCCAAGAGTGTTCAAATACTCTGAACTGGTCACATTTGGAACAGCTCTGGCAGCACAGTACTCTGTAGGGCACACCATAAACCGAGGATGATTCAAATGCTGATAAACTTCATTACTCACAGAAACCTGAAAAAACATAAACAGGTATGAACAAAAGAAAAAATTTAGCTAAAATGTAAAGATTTAACATTGGGGAGTCAGTATGTTAGTAGTTTTAGATTTGAGGCAACGTACTTGAGCATGAGCGAAAGATTGAAACACTTCTTTATCGGCTCCAGACATCTCAGGTTCAATGTCATCAAACAAAAGTGCAAAAGCCGCACAACCAAATTGAGATACTTGATCTAGCTTTCGTTTGATTGCTGAGACCTGCAATTAAAAATAAAAATAATAGAGTTCAACCTTATGATATTCATACATTTTGAAAATAAAATGATCTCTGACCTCCTTGGCACTTGAGTATGTAATGTCCAGGCCTGGTGAGAGGGCGTAATAAAATATAATTCCGTTCTCCTTGGCAGCTGTGATAAGACCTGTCAGGTGTTCAGCCTCTTCAACCGTGTACAATTCACGCCAATAAGCTCGGTGCTTGTAGTCATCTTTCGGGGCATACACATATGCATCCATACCCCATTTCTTCAGCCTAGAAAGAAATAAGTGAATTACAAATGAAAGGAGACAAACTAACATAAAGTACGACAAATCTCATATTGTATTCCCAATTGGACAACAATAAAAGACTGAATAAGGTACATACTTTTGAAATAGGTCTTTGCGTTGCTCTGTGGTCCATGGTCTTCCATAGAACCCTGTCAACATGAAAGAGAAATGTCAAAGGATTCATCGAAAAGATAGGTTAAATAAGAAACCATTCTTGTACTAGAAAAATATAATAGAGGCTCGATAAAAAGTGTAATAGGACACAAAAAACGAGAAAGAAATTAGTCAGCATATTCAATCCTACAAGTGACAAGTCAATGTTCAGACACGAGTAAAAATATATACAACCGAATGCCAAAAATTACCTTCAACCACCCCGCAAGTGAAGTTCGAACTTCTGCTGATGACACCGTCGTCTGGAACTTTATCCGACATCGTGAATGTTTCTACCAGAGCGTGCTTGATGGGAATTTCTGTATTTACGTGGTAGTGGCGCACGGTTCAAGTTCAACAAACTAGAAGCCGCTGTTGTTCACTTACTACGTAACGTAACTACGTACGTAACTACCACCACAACGAACGACAGACAGCCGATTCAGATTCAGATAGAAGTAGGGTAGAGGACGGACGCCAACGCTGAACGCTGATTGGCCAAGCGTGATCACGTGAAACAGGGGGCCGCCATTTACGTGAATTCGGAAGCAGCAGCACACTAATACTCAAATGAATTTGAACATAGATAGGGCATCAAGACCAAGAACCAGTTTTGATCAAATAAAGTGTAATTATATAGCTCGAAAATTTACATTGGCCTTCTTTTTGTTCTAGAGAGTGCTTGCATATTCCTCGCCCGTCACTTTGTGTGCGCAGGTTGGTAACATTCCTACAAGATTCAAAAACGCCCGCCAGCCGCACCCAATGGAAACATTTTCTTTTTCTTCGGATTTTAATTTTAACTGCGAACAGTAGTTGTGCGGTTATGCGAGGGAGTGAGTGAAGGAAGAGGTGGATGAGATAAAATTCCCGACTACAGCGTTGTGTAGTTAGCCAGTGTCAGTGTTTCTAAAACAAAAATAGGCAGTTTTATAATAATGAGAAACCCTCAAAAAGTTTATTGGAGTTTTAAGAAAAACAAAACAGGAACATCAGCATACACAATAATACACACTCATAACATTATTCTCTCTCCCCCTTACTCTTTATTTTTTTTACCGGGTCGCGGGGTTTGTAGCCCTAGTTGCCGCGCCGGCAGCGTCCGTGGCCGTGGCCGTGGCCTTCCCCCGGCCCAGTGCCCCCAGTGCCCGCACGCGCGCCGACACGCGGGCCAGCCAGGCCGGCGCGCGCACGCGGCGCCGCACCTCCTCCTTGGCCTGGCGGTACACGAGCAGCCCCAGCACTGGCAGCGCGAGCAGCTCGCTGCGGAACAGGTACAGCCACACGGCCAGCACCAGCATGCCCAGGTCGGTGGCGTAGCGGAAGGTGGACTTGACGTTCTCCTCCGCCCGCCGCACCAGTTCCTGCTCCTCCTCCGGCGTGCGCGCCCTGAAGTCGTCGCTGTAGGTGCTGCTGGCCACCGACGTGTGCGAGCGGTGCAGCGACCTCTCGGCCGACGTCCTGTCGCGGTGGTAGGGGTGGTAGCCCAGGGCTTCCTTGCCGCCTGGACGGCGCACAACGGACCCATCCCTCCTGGACACAGACCCGTCTCTCCTGGACACGGACCCGTCCCTTCTGGACACGGACCCGTCTCTCTTTGACACGGACGAGTCCCTCTTTGACACTGACGCGTCTCTCTTGGACACGGACGCGTCCCTTCTGGACACGGAGGGCTCTCTCCGCGAAGTGGACGCGTCCCTTCGGCTTGGCTCCTTCCTGGCGACGGAAGGCTCCCTCGTCCTGGAGGACGACGGCTCTCGCCGCCTGCTGGAAGACGCAGAGACGTCCCTTGTGGCGGGGCCGTCTGCTTTTGAGGCGGCGGTGTCTCTCCTGGCCGCGGACGGCTCTCTCCTGGACTCCTTTCTCGAGACTGACGGCTCCCTTCTCGACTCCCGCCGAGCAAGCAGGTCCTCCCGGACGCTACTGCTGGTGATGGCGGAGACGGGGAGCGTGGCGGTTGGCTCAGGTGGCGAGGTCGGCGTGGTGGGAGGCGCCGTGGTCGAGGCCGGTGTCGACGAAAGCACAGCGCGCTGTGCCCCCGCGGGGCCCACCCTTTCCGTCGACCCGCTGTCGTCGGCGTCGGCGTCGGCTTCGGCGCGCGCCCGAATCTCATCGTAAGACAGCAGGTACTTGGGCTGCTGCGGCTTTTGTGCGCCGTACTCTCGCACCAGGTCGCTGTAGTGGCTGATGACCACCTTGGTGGCGTCGTCCTTGAGGGAGTCCCTCCTCGGTGCGGTGGACAGGCCCCGCTTGCTGCGTGCAGCCTCCGCCGCAGAGATGCCGAGGTTGGCCTCAGGCGTGGCGGTCGCCATGGCCTCCCTGGCCACGGCCGGGGCCTTGTCGTCGTCGGGGGGCGGCCGCTCTGGCTTTGGCCGCATTCTGACGGCCTCGACGGCCTCGACGGCCTCCTCGGCCTTCCTGCCGCGGCGCTTCTCCGACTTGTCGCTGTCCGCCGAGTCGGTGCTCTTGCGCCGCTCCAGCTTGTCCTTCTTCTTGATCATCGGGCTGAGGCCCTGCGTGGGGCTCTTGTGGCGCTGCGGGCTCTTGCTGCCGGGGCTCTTGCTGCCGGGGCTCTTGCTGCCGGGGCTCTTGCTCTTCCGGATGCTGCCGCGCTTCTTCAGGATGGGCTTGGGCTTCACGTCGCCTTTGACGGGCGAGTGCCGCTTGGTGAGCAGCACGCTGGCCACGTTGTCGTGCTCCGTCATGGTGGTGTACGTCTCCGCCCTGGGGATGAACAGGGGCACTTCCGGCTCCGGGCTGGACGCCTTGCGGTGTGGCGGCGGCGTGGGCGGCGTGTCGTCCTGCTCGCTGAGAAGGCGCGCGCCAAAGCGGGGGTGGTAGGTCTCCTCCTGGTCGTCGTCGTACCGCCCCAGCGGCACGTCCTCCTCCTCCAGCTCGCTGTCTTCATCCTCCTCGTCTTCGTCCTCTTCTTCTTCCTCTTCCAGGTCCTCGTCTTCCTCCTCTTCACCCAGCTCCTCGCCATCCAGCTCGTCCTCCATCTCGTCCTCCAGGTCCTGCTCCCGCCTGCGCCGTGCCGCCGAGTCCGCGGGCTCGCTCTTGGTGGCCTTGCTGAGGCGGTCCCGCAGCGCCGCGAAGTCGGCCTGCTCGCGCTCCTCCGAGGTGAGGACGCGCTCGGCCTTGGCGGCACCGAGGCGAGGCTGGAGCGGGGAGGCGGGCGCGGCGGGCGCGGCGCCGCTGGGTCTGGCCGTGGCGAAGCGCTTCAGGTTGACGGGCAGGTCGTCCTCGGCGTCCTCGTCCACCGAGTCCATGCGGCCCTTGAGGCGCTCGCGGTTCTTGCGCTCGATGCTGAGGCGGCGCTCCAGGCTGACGCGCCGCTCGATGCTCATGCGGCGCCTGCGCGCCTTCTCGGCCTCCTCCTCGGCCACCTCCTGGTAGAAGCGCGCCATGGCCCGCTCGTGCAGCAGCTCCGTCGAGCTGACGGCGTTGCGCATGAACGGCACGTCGGGGTCGATGGCGCCCAGCTCCGGCGCCGACAGCGACATGGGCGGCGCCACCGGGGGCTCGCCGTCCGCGTCCACGCCGTCCCGCAGCGACGCCACCGTCTGCGAGCGCGTAGTCTCTGCGGAACAGAAGCAAAGTTCAGTACAGGCCGGGCGAGCGCCTGAAGGTAGGTGACCCGCACGCTCGTCTGCATGCTGTTGCCTACCCACACGGCGCTAGCGCGTGTTGGCAGCGCAAACCAAGCGTGGTTAAGGCTTTCCCGAGGCGGGGAATGAAAGAGGTGGGTCTTATGAGATCCAGGAGATCGAGGAAATGCTTTAACCACACCCAGATTTGACACAGTGGCCGCCTACAGCCACCAACATTGCGTTTTTCAACATTCAACAGGCCTGAGTCGCTGCTTACCCCTCTCCTCGGTGGTGGCGCGGCTGTTAGGCAGCAGGACGAGCAGGAACTCAGAGGAGTCGCCGGTGACGGACCCGTCCTCCGACCTCGGGAACAGCCTGTCCTGTCCGGGGGCGGCAGCGGGGGTGGCAGTGGGGGTGGCGCTTAGGGTGGTGGGCTTGCCCGCTTCCTTTTTGGCAGGGGCCTCCTTGTTGCGAGCGAGCTGGCTGCTCCTCTCTCTTTCCCGCTCCCACTCCCTGTCCTTCCGCATCCTCTCCAGCTCCTTCTTCTGCTCCTCCTCCAGCTCGAGCTGCCGCTGCCGCCCTCGTGCCTCCAGCTCCCTTTGGCGGCGCTCCAGCTCCATCAGCTTGGCCTCGTACTTGTTGGCGTACTCCTCCACCTGCCGCAGGTCCAGGACGCCGTTGGCCTCGGGCTTGGCCTCGGGTTTGGCCTCGGGCCTGGCCGTCACCTCGCCACCCCCGATGGGACTGCGCCGCGGGCTGCGGCCGGGACTGAGCCCTGGGCTGGGGCTGGTCGGCGGGCTGCTGGGCACGGGGCTGCGCGCGGGGCTAGGCCTGGGGCTGGCCAACGGGGGGTACACCTCCTCCTCGATGCCGGCGTGGGCGTGCTTGCTGCGCACGCTGTCCGTCGACAGGTGGATGCCGAACAGGCGGCCCTTCACCACGCCCATCTCGTCCGGCGAGGTCGGCAAGTAGCTGCCCATGGAGTCCAGCTCGGGCGACACCGAGTCGTCGCGCACGTCACCGCTGCGCGGCACACTGCGGTTGCGCCGCTTGGGGGGCTCGGGCGCGCCGGCGTCCCTGGGCGTGGCGGCGCCGGGCGCGGCGCTCCTGGTCCGCGGCAGTGACAGGGACTTCTCCGTGGCGCGGCTGACGCGCGGCACTGGCGACGGGATCGGTGACACGTCCTCCACGTCCATGCTGAGCGGCGCCGCGCGCTTGCGTGCCGGTGCGCTGCCCGTCGCGGTGGCCGCGCCGTCCGGCCGGGCCTTCTTCTCGTCCAGGGCGTCGTCGGTGTCCTCGCTGCTCGCGCCGGCTCCGGGGTCCCTGCGGCGCTTTCGGTCGTTCCACCAGTCGCTGCCTTGCTCCGAGCCGTCGGCGCCGCGCTGCGGTGGGTCGTGAATCCTGCAACGGGTCACTGCGGTGAGCAGGGCGTCGCGAGCTCACCTCGGCTGGCCTCGCAAAAGGGCGACTCACCCTCTCTTGGGGTCGGGGATGAACACGGTCTCGGACTCGTCGCCCGGGTCGCTCACACCGTACGGGTTCTCAGCCTTGACGCGAAACTTGTACTCGGAGCCCTCGATGAGGTCGCCCAGCGTGGTGGTGAGCTGCCGGCACGTGGCCGCCTTGAGCCACATGTCCCAGCCCACCTGTGCAGACAGTTCCAGTTTAGGGCCTTGAGCAGCGCCGCGGACAACCAAGCAGAGTACCCCCAAGTGCCCACACCCACCCTGTAGTACTCCACGATGTAGTTGCCGATCTTGCAGCCACCGTCGTCGTCCGGCGGCCCCCAGTTCAGCGTCACGGACTTCCCCAGCGTCATGGCCACCATGGCCTTGCCGGGCGGCGTCGGCCGATCTACACACAGGCCAATGAGGAATGCTTTGTTTACACTGGCCAGCCTCTATTGTCTGCGGAAAACTAAGACACTACTAGGCACCACTGCACTGGGCCACTGACCTGTGACGGTGACCAGGAACGCGGACACGTCCTCGCCGAGCTGGTTGACGGCGCGCACCTGGTACTCGCCGCGGTCGGAGCGCCGGGCCTCGGACACGCGCAGCGAGGCCCCCTTGTCCGTGGTGGTGATCTCGTGGCGGGGCCCGGGCCGCATCACCTCGCCGTTGTGCAGCCAGGACACCCTGGGCGGCGGCCGCCCCGCCACGGACACCTTGACGCGGATCACCTCGCCCAGCTCGAACAGCAGCCCGTCCTCGTACTGGCGCGGCAACCGGATGGACGGCGGGGCTGCGAGCACGGCGTCAGTGAAAAGGGCAAGCCGCGTCTCTCTGTCCTTCTCGCACCCTTACGGAACGTCCCGTGAGTGCGAGAGAGACAGAGCGACGAAGCACCGAAGCGCCTGCCCACCTTCGAGCCTCAGCCGGGCCTTGGTGACGGCGTGGCCCGCCCGGTTGGTGGCGGCGCACTTGATCTCGCCCTCGTCGGCCAGCGCGGCCTGGTGGATGATGAGCGTGCTGGTGATGACGGTGCCCTCGCCGTCCGTCACGACGCGCGACCGCCGCCCGGAGAACACCTCCAGCCCGTCCTTGAACCACGAGATCTTGGGCGCCGGCGTGCCCGTCACCCGCACCGTCAGCTCGACCTGCAGCACAGTGTTATCGTCAGCACCGCCAGCCGGGCGCACAGACCGATTTGCAGTGCACCCACCTTTTCATTCTCGAGCGCGACGGTGTCCTGCAGCTCCTTGGAGAAGTGCGGCGCCGTGGCCACGCCCTTGGCGAGGGTCACCGTCAGAGGCTCGGACACCGCAGACGGGTCGGAGCGGCCCGCGGCGTTCTCGGCGGCCACCCTGAACTGGTATCGCCAGCCCGGCTCCAGCCCGGACAGCGTGAGCTGGCAGCGCGGCACCGCGCCGGGCGTGGCGCGCACCCAGTGCGGGGACCCCGTGCGCCGGTGCTCCACGAGGTAGCCTGGTCCAGGACGCGAGACAGTGAGACAGGGCCGTCCACGAGCGAGCCACGTCGGCAGACACTCACCTGTGATGGCAGAGCCTCCATCGCTGATCGGCGGGTCCCAGCGGATGGTCACCACGTCGTTCTGCGCCCCGGGACTGGCGGGCACGAGCAGCGGCTGCCCGGGTGGATGGGGGCGCTCTGCGGTCAGGAGTTCAAACACCGTTTACCGATCGACAAGTCGTAAAAGGCACTGGATTTCGATTGTGCGCCGCAAAGTAGCGGGCCAGGCCGTTCTGTGGCGAACAAGGCTCGGCTTGTGATGCCAGCCGCCGGCCCCGCCGGCCGCGACTCAAATAGCTTCCAGACGCCGGCGTAAACAACGCGCAAGTCGCTCGGTACTCTGTGCGCCCGGCGCCCGCGGAGGGGCGGGGCGGGGCGGGGCGGCCTTCAACCACGCCACCGAGAGCATCAAAACCTGCCCTCGCGTGGTGAGGCAACGATGGGACAAAGTGTCCTGCAGCCGTTTTGATTGACAGAGAGCAGCTTTGCAAGCTGTACATGAGCACTCTCTTCCACAACACGCCCGTGTGGCACCCCGTTCCCCCTGGCGCGGTCTGCCCCCGGTTGGCCCGTATTCGTATTCTTAGGCTCCGACAGGCACACGGCGCGCCACCATCGAGGTTGTGCAAAAGCACATTATCACAAGGCCGAGGGCGTCAACGCAGATGTCAAAGCCGAGCCCGTCGTGTGGTTGGCAGGGCCCGCAGGGCAGGCGCTCGGTGCAACTTGACGTACGGACACTTTGACGTCAAGCCCGACGCGTGGTGTGCCGCCAGTGGCGTAGCAAGAAACGTTCCCCGTTAACAAGCTTGGCACGCTGCGCTAAACAGGCGCCTGCGCTTGCGCTTCAAATTGGGCAAATAGACGCCAACTCCATGCAGGTCAGCCACCCCTGGGAGTTTGCTCCTGCAGGCGGACGACATCAGTATAGCTCTACCTCTTCTCTCCCGTCCACAAGGAGGCCGACGACGTGCCAATGCAGCACGCGCGCCCTGAGGTGTGTGCCCTCGCCGCCGACAAGACCATCGCCACAACCTTGCGCCGCTTGCGCGTTCGCGGGGGATTAGACGCCGGCGCCTCTGGGCTCGCCTCACCCCTCGGCCTCAGCGACTCAGCAGGCCGCGGTGCCGCGGTGCCGCGACCAAGGCACCCTAGCACCCTCGGCTGCCAGCGACAGCCAGCCCGGGCGGCGTGGCTGGCGTGGCTGTCCACCATTGTGTCTGCGTGCCAAGCCGCCGCGCCTAGCCGCGCCCCGCCCCCACCGAGAGCACCGCCGCGGTGGCCCCGACGCCCCAGACGGCAGCCCTGGCACGGCGGGGCGCTGCGGGGCTACGCGGCGCGGGCCAGAGCACCGCGATGACGCGGCAGTGCGCCACGCTGGACAACAAGGGCCCTGCTTGCGATGGACTCCGGCTGCGGTCAATTGGCCGCAATCACGACTGGTGGGAACTGAGACCACCCGATGTTGTGAGGGAGGGGCGCGTTGGTGACCTTCCGTGGCAGATAGAGTCGGAGGCGCCGTTTGGCCATCGGCCATGCCTTGGCCATGCCGTGGCACCGGCAGAATCTAACGTAGCCTTGACACTCCCGGCTCCCTGGGCCCCAGCGCCCCAGCGCCAGGGCGGGAAATGGCGGCGCGACTTAATTAGCACCGCGCTCTCATTGGCTGTGATTAGCTGTGATTGGCTGACGCCGCTCCAGCCCACCACGGCAGCCAATCAGAGCGCGTGGTTTCGAATCTCCCGCAGAAAGGCGGCGCCGCGATTGGCCGCGGTTCCGCTGCACTGCAAGGCTCGCCGCGTGGAACGCAAGCGTGGCCAGGCGCACGACGGCACGACGGCGCCGCGTCGGAGACAATGCCATAATATCTTGGCAGGCGGGCAGGGCGGCGCGGCGCGGCGGCTCGAGGCAGCAATCTTCACACATCGTGTGGCGGAGACGGCGCTTTATTTTTATCGCGTTTGAACGCAAAGTCAGACCCACCGGGCCCACCGCCTTGAAGCTTGAAGCGCACGCCGCCAACAAGTCAAACCTGGCCCGCCCCGGCCGCCTCCACCTGGGAGGGCTTCGCGCTGCTTCGCGCGGTCAGGCCGAACCAGCTCGTTCGCAAAACCAAAAGCCAACGCAAGCGCGAAGGCTCGAGTGCGAGGGGTTGCCGCGTTGCGGTGGACGCGGACGCCCTCCCGCCGCGACGTGCGTGCGGGTGGCGTGTCCTCCCATGTCCTCTTGACAGGAATAGCGAATAACGGGGAAGAACAAGTCCGCTGCACTGTCCACTGACCTGCCTCCTCCCAGTGCACGTTCTTCTTGCGCCCGTCCGCGTGTCGGTGGTATTTCGAGTACTCTTTGGTCGCCTGGTTGCCCATGTCAGCGACGGTGGCGCGCGGCGGGCCGTGGCGGCGCGGCCACGACGGCCAGGTGCCGCAGGGTCACGGCGCGTCACGGCGCGTCACGGGGTCATGATCTGGACGCCTCCAGCCCCGGCCGGCCCGGCACCCCGTACGCGGCCATGCGTGGGGCTCGTCGCGGCGTCGCGGCCAGGCTGGGCTCCGCTCGGCTCGCCTCGCCTCTCGGTGGACTGAACGAGAAACAAGGGCCTGGGAAGGGGCGGCCGACGCGAGCCCGCCGCGAGACTAGAGCGGCAAGCTAAGCTGGTGCTGTGCGCCCCTCCCCCGGCCCGCCACGCCGCCCCTTCCCACCCAGGAGTCTGGATATAGCTCGGTGGCGGTAGCAGTGGCGGTGCGTCGGGGGGCCGCGGGGGCCGCGGGGACGGGGAATCAAAAAGCCCGCGCCGCCGCGCCCGTCACCCCGCCACTCCCCTTGTTCACCTTCTCGTAAACGTCTTTCTCCGCGACGCGGTGCTGCACTGCAGCCTGCACCTGCACTCGCGGACCCCCGTCGGACCGGTGGCGGTCCGCCTGGCCTGCAGGCCTGGCCTGGTCGGGCCTGGTCCTTCAGGCCACGCCGACTTTCTTCCCTTCGCGGAACCTAACTGCCAGTAATTGCCCCGCTCATGCGCGGCCTCGAGACCCTCGAGACCCTCGACATCCTCCAGACGGCCGCCATTCAGGACCGCGGCTCGCGACCCTCCATCGCCGCGACGCGTTCCAGACGGCGTTCCGCGCGCGCTTCTTCTTGTTGGCAGGGTGCCGGGCTGGCCGCCTGGCCGCGGCGATACCCCGGCGAGCAGGTCGTCGCCCCGCGGGTGGGTATCGGCGCCGAGGGGCTCTAGCACGCTAGCGCGGGCACTAGGGGGCGCGACGCACTGCGCGCCGCGCTCTACCGGCCGCCGGTGGGACTAAGGTTTGCCGAGGGTGGCGGCGAGGGGCATTCAAATGAATCATATGCCGGCAACGCAACTCTCGCGCTGTCCGCTCCACGCCGCGTTCGATTTTCATTTCATTTCCCGCGCTAATGGCTGTCGGTGTACCGTACGAGGCGAGTCGCGGGCGGAAACGGGTCCACATTCTGGCCGGCCCTGCCGCGCCGTGCCGTGCCATGCCATGCCCTGCCATGCCCTGCCTTGCTCATCCAGGGTTCGGTTTTGGCCGAGAAAGTAGGCCGCCCGGCCTCTCCAGCCTCTGCCGCGGATCGCAGCGACGCGCTCCACGCGTGCCGCTGGACCATGCTGGACCGCCATCACGTCCAAGCGTGCGCGAGGCGCGAGACGGCGCGAGCGAGTGAAACAAAAGATGACGCGGTACCATTCCGTCGCTCTGTCTCCGTCGCGCTCACGGGGCGTGCCGTACAGGTGCGAGAGAGACAGACCGACGAAACGATCTTCGGCATCAGTGGATGGAGAGATTTCCTTACGCTGTCCGCACCCCGCGGCGAGTGACGCATTTCCAGGAAGGCTGCAACAAATCCCCCCGATCAATCAGTGGAAATATTCGACAGGCTCACGCGAGGGGGGAAAAGGGAACATGAATTGTTGCCTCTTGGATAATACATGCAGGGGTGGCTTAACACCTTCGATCCCCCCCCCCTCCCTTTTTCCTCTCGCTAGCCTCACCTCGTTTATCTCGTTCCAGGGCAATCATACCTGCGCCGCGGCCCAACTGTCCATTTTATCCTCACTCTTGCTTTTATTCCTCCGCTCGACGCGGATGAATCATTTTTGTTCTACATTTATTTGTGGCCCGCGCGCCTCGCTGCCCCCCCCCCCCTTTTCCCCCAGTGGTGTGTGAGGAGAGCCTTCTACATATGATTACCCACTTCGTTAAAGAGGTACAGCACTCCGGCCGGACACTGGCCACAGATTACGGCCGAGTGTAAAGACTCCGAAAAATGTTGCGTCGGTAAAAAAATGGGAATCCGTATCGGTGGACAGTGCGACTGGAATGGTGAGTCACGCGCGCGTACTCTGCAGAACGGTCTTTGAGAAACAAGGAAACGGAAACGCAGGACGCACCGGCCTCATTAACTAATGCAGGCCCTGCTTGACTTTACAAAACAAGTCCACGCCTCCCATTATGTCAACGGCCCCATGCACTTAATTGGGACACTGGGACGGCCTCGGCCGATGCCGGAAGTGCCACCTGCCGTTCGGTCCTTCGGGTCCGTTCGGGTCCCTCGGCCCTTCGGGGCCCTTGGGGGCCCTTGGCGCCGCGAAGGCCCCCCTCAGACAGTGCGGGGCACGCGGGGCTCGCTGCCGGGTGGCGCCTGTACGCCTGGCTGGCAGCTCGGTCCGCCCCGCCGTGGCCCCGCACGGCCGCCAAAGTGCACCACAGTGCACCAGTCCCGCCACCCCGCCCGGTGCAGCGACAGAGAGCAGATAAGCCGAATGAGAATGGAGCAGGATAGAAAGAGAAAGAAAGAAAATAAAGGAGAGAGAGGTGGTCAGGCAGGTAGCAGGTAGGGAGGCGGGCAGCCCGGCCGGCAGGGCTGGCAGCCGTGCTGGCAGGCAGCCGTGCTGGCAGGCAGCCGGACTGGTCCCCACTCCGGCGCGGGCCCTCCGGAGGCCCCAGCAGAAGCAGAGTGGAGTGGAGTGGAGTGCCGGTGGAGTCAGTTCTCGGCGCGCCGTGCAACCAAGAGGACTGGCGTGCGGCACGCCGTCGGCCACCTCCTCCAGCGACGCGACGACGGCGCTGGCCGCGGCGGCGACCCCCCCCCCCCCAGTGAAACACCCCCAGTGCTCCCCACCCCCTGTCACGCGTTGCCCAGTGAACCCTCAGTGTACCCCACCGCGAGTGCCAACCAAGTGTAACCCGTGCGCGATCGTTCAACCCGGCCGCATGCACGCGAATGCGTCGCCTGGCCAGTGGAGGCGACCAGTGCGAGCGGGAATGCCCACCGCGTGAGTGCCGTGAGTGCGCCATGGAACCCCTGCGCCGCTAAGGAGTAAGGAGTAAACCGCCCGCAGCGTTCCGCAGCGTCCGCAGCCGCCAAGGTGAGAATGGCCGCCGTCGCACCGCGAAAATGAGCCGCCGCACATGCGTGCTATTAGGCTGCGTTGCGCCGCGCCCCGGGGCACCCAGAGGGGCACCGGGCTCTGCCCTGGCCTGCCCTGTCCCGTCGCGCGGCCACCTGGAGAAAGTCGCCGCCGTGGACGCCGTGGACACTCGGAGGCGCGGGGCGGGCGCGAGATCGGCCGGCCACCGCGGCCCCGCTCCCCCCCGACCCCCTGCAGCGCGATGACACCGACGCGTACCTCTCGGGTGCATACGTAATGGATGCAGCCCGGCGGCGCGCGGCTGCTCGTAATGAAATGCAGCTTTCTGGTGACGCGCTGCCGTCGGCCGCCCCGCCCCGCCCCGCCCACGGCACGGCGCCCCGGAAGGCTGAAAGCGCTGAAAGGACGGCCGTCGTTTGTTTTCGCTGATTGGCTGCTGACTCCGCGGCACAACAAGCACTGTGTGAGTCAGCACACACTGGGCCAGCCCCGGGGCGCGGCGGCGCGGCGCAGGCCGACCAAGAGGCACTCCTCTCAACGAGCTTCACGCCACTCGATTCTAAAGGCAGGCTTGCCACGGCTTGCCACGCACGGACGGGCCAGAAAGAAAAACAGCTGCCGAAATCTACTTAGAGGGTCTGCGTGGACGTCGGGGACCTGGACGTGCTCGCCGGCAAGCTGGCTGGGCCGGCTGGGCTGGCTGGCCGAGGTGCGGTCCAGCGGTTCGATAGAAGTGTCGCCGGCCTGTTTGACTCGTTCCGCTTGTTCCGCTGCAACTCGCTGCGCCGCGGCATCGGGACTCCGACGACTCGTCCGGGACTTGAGTGCACCGGTCCGCGCACCGCACCGCCGGCCCGGCCTGCCGTCGGCCTGCCCGGGTCCTTTGGTGCCTCGTCAGGGTCCTCGCGCGTCCGCGCCCATAGCTCACCCGCGGCACTCCCTACCGCCGCCTCCTCGCCGAGGTCCTCGTCGTCCACGTCAGCGAGTCGATAATTCAACTCGCGTCGCCACCACAAAACGGCTTTCCTGCCTGCAGCCTGCTGCATCACCGCGGATGCATTTCGGAATGCAAATTTTCCAGGTACCAGCCGGAGGGGCCCTGCAGCTCCAGCCAGCCTGTAGCGGGGCCCGCCCAGGCCCAGCCCAGCCCAGCCCGTCGAGGCCACGGCGTCGTCCGGCACGCCGGCCACGTGCGACGTGCGCGCCGTGGACCACTCTGTGGACCACACTGTGGACTCATGGCCCCAGGCCCGCCAGGCCCGTGCCGTACGGTGAATAGAGAATGGCTGCCGACGGGGACCAACACTGTAATTAGTCGAAATCCGATCCGACTCGGCATGTGTACGCATGCAAATCACACGCGGAGGAAAACTTAATTCGCTGGTCATTCCACGGCCGCGGGACGTGTGTGCGTGTGTGCGTGTGTGTTTTGGAACAAATGGGCGCCCTGCTCGCATCGCGTGCTGGCCGTGCTGGCCGTGCTGGCCCACCGCGGCGCTAGCAGTCTGTCCAGCGACTGCCCCTTGTTGTCGTGCTGCAGCGTTGATGCAACCTTGTCCTCCCAAATCTCGTCATTTCGACCAACTTGGCGGCACCACTGATCGCGAACGCCCGCAGGGATGACAGAGGAAGGTCTTGAGCCGTAGACAAAGCGACCAGGTTCGAGTCCCGCCTACAGGCAGTCCCGAGGCGCGAAGAAGCGGGACCCGCGGCAACATCACATCCCGGCTTATCTGAATAAAGTGTTACGAAATGTGGCCGCGCTGCCTGGGAGCGAGGACCGCGGGGACCGGGAACCAGGACCGCCAGGTTCCTCATTATCACTGGGATGGCCTCACGGACGCAACACCGCCACACTGCCAAGAAGTTTGAATCGGCGCGAAGCGCGCGGAACCTCGGAGAGGCGGTGTCATTCACTTTTCGCACCTCTCCGTTCCCGCTCTGTGTCCCCACCGTCCCCACTCGGGGCGACACAATCGAGACGTTCCCCGAAAAGGTAGAAAAGGGGGCGGGCCGAGGTGCACCTTGCCGCACCTTGCAGGACCTTGCAGGTGGGGTGATGCGGGGTGGGGGATGAGTCAGCCCAGCCAGCCCCGGCGGCCCGGCGGCCCGGCGGCCCAGCGGGGCCTCGAGGGCCTTGTTGAGGGGCAGCGTCCCTTTGTGATACGAGGATCCCTACCTGCATGGAGCCTTGCAGTGTGAGCCTTGCCGGATGGGAGGCAAGGGAGGCAGAGCACCTGTCCAGCCGCGCGAGGCCGAAGGTCCCCTTGCTGTCGGAGCATCAGCTGTGCAGTGCTGGTCGGTGGAGCCTGGATTTTGCAGAGTCCCAGCTGCAGTCCCGGACAGCTTCCACCACAGGACTTGATTGTGAGCTCTCGCTTCTCGCTTCGCAGCGTGGGGCGCTTGCGAGGCGCTGTGGCGCGGCGTGGATGTGGATAGTGTTTCCATTGGTTTCCACTGGTTTCCCGCGGCGGCCAGCTCCAAAGTGGAGGACGAGCTCCGTGTTTTATAGTCGGCCGGCCCTCTGAATCAACAAAACCCCGCATGCGCCGACGCCGTAGCTCGCTGTGGGATGCTGGCCCGGCTGGCCGCCGGCAAGCACCGAGGGGTACCGGGTAGTACCGGGTCCCCCCGGCCTTACGACCGAGTACCGGCGTACCGGCGTACGGCCGTACGGCGTACCGGCGCACCGGCCGGGGAGGCTGTGGCTGCGGCCGGGGACTTGGCCGGCCAGACGCGGCCAGACGGGCCTCTTTGTTTGCTCCTTTTTTACGCTCACCTGTTGTGGGCTGATTCCCTTCATTCCCTTCCCCCGGCCGGGGCGGGACGGGCCGGGCCGGGGTCCCCGAGGTAAGGTAAGTAGGATGGATGCGAGGGGATAGGTTCACGGAAAGGGAGAAAAAGAGCATGCAGTGGCCCTGAAGGCGAGCCTGAAGGCCCTCAAGTCGAAGCTCGAAGGGCGGCGGGGACGAGCAGGACGAGCCGTCGGCGCTGCAACCTCCACTCTCTCGCACTCTCCAGGCGGCCCGCGGGTGCGAGAAGGACAAACGCGACGAGGCACTGCTCGGAGAACGAGTCGGAGACAGCCCTCCGCCGCGTGCGTCTGACCCGGTCTGACCGCACCGTCGGGTCGCGGGTTCGACTCCCCGCCGCAGCGCCTCTTTCTTCGATGAGCCGTTTAGGCTGATGACCGCGTCAACACGCCAAGTGCGCGCAAGTCCGTGACCGGCGCGGCGTGGCCAGGCGTGTTTTGGTTGCTGAGCAGCACTGCCGGTTTTTAATCCTCCTTCGACACCTCGAGTGCCGGCCGTCCGTTCCTTATTGATTACCGATCCTAGCCTCGCTCCTCGCTCGCATCCTGCGCCCAATTATCCTCACCGAGTCCTGCCGTCTGGAAGGGGGGGGGGGCTCCAGCCTCAGAGAAGGGAAGACTCCAGCACTCCAGCACTTAGGGAACAAAAACGAGCCTCGCCTCCGACGGGTGTCGAACGCTGGCCCTCGTGGGTGGGGATCCGAAACGCTGCGACTTACGCCACGGTCTCCTTGACTGGGGCCTAAGTGACTCCGGTGGCGCGGCTCTCACTACGCGGCCACACTTCTCAACGCCGGTCTTGTTTCTCGCTTCCCGTCGTTGCGCAAGGACACTGGTAATTAGCGTGGGCCCCAAAAAAGTGTCCCGCCTTTTGCCTTTCTGGTCGTTAGCGGCGACCGGCGAGCCCGGCCTAGCCTGTCTAGCCGCCCCCACTGTATCGGCAGCCCGGCTAGCCAGCGCGGGAGATTCGAATCGGGGCGTGCGCTATCACGCCTGCAGGCTCATTCCCGGCGGCTTGTGTCGCTCTGCCCCTCCCGCACTCACGGGCCCCCCGTAGGCGTGTGAGTGAAAGAGAGAGAGCGTTGTTTGAATCGGTCTGCGGGCGTGTGAATCACGATGCGTGCCGTCACGACTCGTCACGCGAGTCTCGCCATCGGGCTCGCCATTGTGGTGCGGGTGATTAATCAGTGTATACGCATCCCGCCCTCGTAAAAGGCAGGATGGGCTTTAAACGCGCGAAAACCGGCGCGGTCCAGCCGCCTGGCTACGCCTGGCCACCGGCCCCGGCCGGGAGGACTCGAATTAAAAGCCCCCGCAGCTTGTCCTGTTTGCGGCCAGTCTATAACACCTCGCGCGGAGCCGCGGCCGGCCGGCCGGTGGCGCTGGTCCCGCTACGCCGCGGACCCGTCTTCCTGTCCACTGCCCGGCCGCGCCTCCCCGTCTCCCACCAGTCCTGTCATTTTGCGCACCGGCACGGCCACCCGGCCCTCGCTAGGCAAAGGCCTATTTTCCCGTCGAAATGACGCGTTCTCAGCAAAACAAACTGCGCGTGGCCGGCCGGCTGGTTAGCCGGTCGTTTCCGGGAGGCGCCCCGCAGTGCTCCGCAGTGCTCCGACGTAGTGCCTGCTGCACGGCGTGTCACTGTCCGCCTCTGTCCGCCCTAGCTGGCCTTGCGACGCGGCGCGACGTGGCACCGCGCACCGCGGTACGGCACGAGGCGGCGCCTGTCACCGCCACGACGGCCACGACGGAGCGCGGCTTGCGATCGGCACGCGACCCCGCCCTACACCGCCAAAGACACGCTCGGTGCGCGGCGGCATCGTGCTGCAGCACTGCGAGACTCTAGCGGGACTCCGATGGAAACCGCCGCCTCGCGGAGCGCAGCGCGCAGCGCGTGTCCATGTGTCCATCTGGCCGGCGCACTCCTAGTGGAGTGGAGGGCGTGGCGCGGCGGGGGCGCCTTCCAAGCCTTGCCTCGTTAGGCCCAAATTAAACGGCGCTCATAATTCGAGGCGAGGCGATGGGCCGGCCGGCCCGCCCCGCTGTCGCTGTCCCTCTCGCTCCCCTGCCGCTGCCCGGCACGCCCTCCTCGTGCGAGAGAGACAGCCTGCTGCTTGCCCTGCTTGCCCTGCTGCAGGCTATGGGAACCATGAGAACCCACCGCCCACTCGACCCCCGCGACCCTGCGTCGCCCTGCGTGCACGACACTCAAGTGCCACTTTTGCCCGCGCAAAGGTGAACCGTGTCGCCGAGCCGCGGAGGGCGGGGGGGGGGGGGGGGGGGGGGGGGGCTTCAACTGCCGCATGCACCGCACTGCACCGCACTGCATCCGCATCCACCGCCAACTGCAGATCTGCGGTCGGCGTGCGTGCCCCTTGGCGTGCCCTGTCCGCCCAGTGGCACGTACAGCCCACTACATTGTACTCTGCCAAAAGCCTTCCCAAAGTGCACCAAGCTGTAGGCCGAAGGGACGGCGCCGTGGCGGCAAAGACAATAGCCGCGTTACGGACAGGCTTTAATAACACAGTACTATCGCCGGGCGCGCCAAACTGGACCCGCTGCGAGCTCGACGGCCACCTCGGCCACCGCGTCGCTCCGTCTCCCTCGCACGCACGCGGCGTCGCGAAGGGAGCGAGAGAGACAGGGCGGCGAAGCAGCACGGCGCAGCATTCCAACGCCGGTACTTGCGGGCCCGACGGAGCCCGCGGAGCCCAGGCCACCACACTGGCAAGCCGTGGCAGGCAAGCCAGCACGTCGAGATGTGCCGCAGCACCGCCGCAGCGTTTGCAAGTTTTATGACTCGCTCTGCTGTCGGTTGGCCAGGTCAGGGAGGCGGGGAGAGAAAGGGGAGGGGGAGGGGCACATGAGCAAGGGCGTACGGCCGCGTCAACGTCACAACGCCACAACCAACAAAACGAACCATTTCGCAAAGGGTGTGGACAGCGAGTGTCTCCACTCCACGCCGCCGTCCGAAGTTGAAAGTGCCCGATGACCGCCTCAAGTCTCCAGCACCTCCAAACCGCGCGGCCCGCAGACTCGACCGGGCCCGCCTGCGGCATGTCTGCGGGTGAGGTTAGGTGAGGTCCGAACACCGATAATCGTATCGGCAGGGACATCGGGGCGGCCTCGCCAGACTCCGCCAGGCACCGCGACGGCTCCTGTCCTCCCTTCACTTCCTCGTCCTGCTGGTCCTGGAGGTCCTGCTCCTGGGCCTCGCTGTTCACGCCGCTGTTCGGTGGGCGGCCCCTCTGGCCGGCAGCAGCCTTGGCCGTGTTTCCGACCAGGGACGTCCAGCTGGATAGTGAGCTCCGCGAGCACGCCCCGGGCCCACGCGTCGATGCGATTCAGCGTGTATGTAGATCCAGGCCGGCAGGCCTGCATCAAATTAATAACAACGCCGTCAAGTCCGTTTTCGAAAGTCCCCAGCGTTGCCGCACGGCTGGCTGGCTGGCTGGCTGGCTGACTGGCTGGCTGGCCGGCCGCAGCGCGCTGAAAGCCGCACGACGTGAAGGGGTTCGCCAGCACCAAGCCCTTACAATGGCGGTCGTAAACACGCGTGGCGCGCCGCGTCCTGCCGTGTCGCTGTCCACTCCCCGTGTCCCTGCACAGTCCCTGCATGCAGGCACACCCCCACCTCACGGCAGGACTTTCCGAATCCCACTGCAGGCGTTTTGGAACCGGAACTCTGTGGCGAGGATTCGAAATCAAGCACCTCAGTGTGCCGCTGTTGTGGCGGTCCTGGCGGTCTTGGAGGCAGCACAGCGACACAGGCAGGCAACCCGCTCGACTCGTCCTGGAAAACTCGCCATGCCGGCGGTGCAGGACCCGCCCCGCCCCGCCCCGCCCCGCCCCGCCCCGCGAGCCAGGCCGCTGGAGCCGCGCGACAGGTTCTAAATGAGAAGTGAACGTGTGGCGTGGCGGCTAAGCTTTGGGCTGAGCTTCGGGCTGAGCCCCGCGATGGACTCCACACGGAGACCATTGCCCCCGCCGATTGGCCGACGGGCCCTGCGGCCTTTGGCGGCCTGCGCCGTCAAGATGGCCCGGATCGGCGAGCCCAGCCACACCCACAGTGTGCCAGCACCCGCCGAATCCTCGCCCACGTAGAACACATGCACACAAACGTGTCGAACAGGGCGAGCTACATCTTCCTGCCGAGGAGTCCGGGGTTTAAATCTGCAAACTCGCGTCGGACTAGCTAGCTTTCCACTGCCTTGGCTGCCTTGGGGGTCTTCGTCTTCCTCTCACTCGGCGCGTCGGCGCGTCGCCTCCTCCGGGTCCGTGTTCGCAGGTTCGCACCGCGCATGTATCGGGGCTCCGATTGCCGGTGATGATCAGTCGATGGCGTCGGCCCGGTGGGGTGCTCCCCGCTCACGGCCACACGGCCCGAAGCCCGAGGCACGGCTTGGAGCGCGATGACGACCCATCCCGACCGGGACCACCGTTAGCCTCCCGCGGGGTCCCCCTGGTCGCCGTGTTGCAGCGGGGGCAGCGGGGGCACCCGGCGGCCCCTACGCCACCGACGTCACCCTGGTGCTCCCCCCGCCCGAGGCCGGCATCGTAAAGGACGAAGACGGCGCGCTTTTTGTGGCTTTTTGTCGTGGTTTTAGTGCCGCATGCAGTGCTAGCTCATCCCGGACCGGTCCCCTGCCCGGCGCGTCTCCTCTCGGCGGCCCATCGGCCCATCGGCCCATCGGCCCATCGGCCCATCGGCCATCCCACGACGCCGTGCCTCCGCGGCGGCGGCCTAAGTATGGGGCACGATGCCGGGAAACGGGTCGCTAATTTAGTGCACTCTCCCGGCAACAAGTGCGCTTTCTCCCAAAAAGACAGGCATGCAAACCGAGAGTGAGGCGCCCCGGCACTGCGCCCGCCACTCGCACGATTAATTCATCACACTGCGAGTAAATATGCGCGGACAAGCGGCGGCAGGCGCGGTGGCAGGCGCGGTGGCAGGCGCGGCGTGGGAACGGCCCGTCCTGGGGTAGAGTGGCGCCCAGCGCTCTGTCTCCCCTGACGGACGACTGCAGAAGCAGCCCCGTGATGCCGTCGACCGGACGCACTTCCAAAAGCGCGTCTTCTGGAACACAACAGGTGTCTTTAACTGCGCTACGTCGCGATGTGTGTGTGTGTATGTGTGTGTGTGTGTGCGCGCGCGTGAGTGAGTGTGTGTGTGAGTGTGTGTTCGGGTGATAGGCGCCCCGCACGCCTCGACCTTAAATGCCCGTCATTACAATACGTGCGGCAGATGCATCCCAAACTGTTGATTGCTCCAGCAAGGCAGACCCCAGCGGCTCCAGCCAGGCTCCAGCCAGGCTCCAGCCAGGCTCCAGCAGCTCCAGCGTTCCAGCCTGCCGACACGCGATGCGATGCCGCCACTCCTCTGCTCCTGGCGCTGCCGCTGAAGTGCGTGCGTTTGTGTGTGGGGCAAGAGCGCGCGAGGGCAGAACAGGGGCTCGCTAGGTCATGACATTTGCAGCAGCGAGAGGGTACTGACTCCTGTGATACTCCGCGCAAGGATCGGTAGCGCAGTGCCGTAAACAAACCGCAGGACTAACTACCACGCGCACTATCAAACCATCAAATCGCGCCGAACAGTCAAAGACATCCAAATTACAGTGGGGCTTCGGACGAAACACCAATGGGAAAATGCAATATACACAGATGCCCGTCTGTGAGGCGCAGCGAGGCCCATTGAATCACCTGTCTCCTGTTATTTTTGTCCAACGATGAAAATGGGTGGTGAAAAAGCCGGCGGCTGAATGGTGCCCCGGAGGTGTTGGCGTTGGCCGCCGCGTTCGGCTTGACGCGGAGCCGTCATTGGCTGGCCGCGGGGCCGCGGGGCCGAAGGGCCGAGGGTCCGGAGGCTGCACTGTAATCCCCTGTTATGCCCGATTACGTCGCGCCCGGAATTCGGACTGCCGGCGGCGCTTCTGTCACTTGGCGGTGGCCCTGCGTGCCCCGCGGCCGGCAGGCCATGGCCCCCAGGCCCTTGGCGAGGCCCTTGGTGAGGACGCTGCCCTCTCAGGTCACTCACCACCACGCTCTGTCTCTGTCTCACATGGGGCGTCCCGGCGGGGCGCGAGAGAGACAAGAGCGACACGCCGCCCCTTTTCCACATCTTTGACACATCTTTTCCCCTTATTTTCTTCTTTTCTTTCGTCCGGGCTCGTGGTGTGTGTTTGTCAAAAGCCACGCCGGCAACGCCCCGGTGTGGAGAAAGTGGTGGACCGCCACACGGCGGGGTCTCGGTTACCGCGAGGGCCGCAAGGCGACGACGGTGTGGGCCAGTCGGCCACCGCCGCCACGCCGCCACGCCCAGCTTCATTCTCTGCCGCTCTCCGTCGCTCCGGCGGACGGCTAATTTTGCACGCCCACGCGAAATCCTCGTCGGGGCTTATCGGCACCCAGCACCATGCAACGGACACCCCGCCCCGTGCAGAAACCTAGAGGCGGCAGCGCGCCGGGCCGCCATAGTCCGCTGCGGCGCGGCGCACTCTGGATCCCTGCCAAAGCATCAATTTCATGCACCGCGCCCCGCCCCGCCCCGCCCCGCCCCGCCCCGCGCAGCGACAGTGACTGAATGCGGCGCCCCCCGCGCACGGACGAGGTCGCGGAGAGGCTCCCGTGCACCGCGCCGGCAGGTCAAGCGCTCTGTGATTACTAACCCCCGCGGCGGGCGCTGCAAACCAAAGGGCGGGGCGGGGAGCGACGGAGAGAGGAAGAAAGAGAGAGACTGAGAGACGCAGAGACGAAGGCGGGAATGCTAATCAGAAGGGCGTATGTACCGTCAGCGCCCCTCGACCTCCATAACGACACAATACTCGGAAGTACCGCGCCGGGGCGGGGCGGGGCGTGGTGCTCTCTCGCGGCCGATTCGTTCCGTTTAGCCCCGCGTTGACACCTGGCTCGCCCTGCGGTGAACCGCGCCGCCGCGCCCCGCCATCATGCAAGTGAAACGAATTCATTATTTCCGGCGCGGCGACCGCGAGCACCCCAGCCCGCCGCGCCCCGCGCTCGGACATGCCCCGCCCCGCACTCGCCTGGAAAAGTCCCGTAGCGGCGGAGTCAGGCGGAGCTCGCTCTCTTTGGCGCACGCGCGCGACACACGCACACAGCCGGACACTCACGCACACACACACACGCGTGTGGGACGCACTGCGCCGCAAGTGCCGGTTAGAGCTGGCCGCGCTGCGCCGCGTCGGCCGGGGCAGCGAGTCGCCAAGGGCATAATTACGGCGTCGTTGTGCCCAAACAGTGGAGCCATGCCGTGGAGCCATGCCGTGGAGGCCGGCCGGGCGGAACGCTACGGTACGCCGCCAAGCCGCGTAGCCGCGCGTGAATTAAGACGAGAGCCCCGGCGGCCCGCCCCGCGTCCTGCGTCCTGCGCCACGCCCTCCTGGCCCTCCTGGCCGTCCCGGCCCTCCCAGCGCGCTGACCCGGGCTGGCCACGGCGCCGTGCTTCGGTGGGTGCTTTGACCGACGCCGTCGACGACGTCGCCGTGCGTGGCAACTAGAGACCTAGAGACTGACGGAGAAGCGCGGGCGCCGATAAGCGCACCAACAGTTTCTCATACTCCTCGCGCGCGGCCGGAGAGCTGTTTCATATTCCAGACAAAATGGCGGCGCACGCACTTAACGGCTAGAGAAGGTTTTTCGGTCACAGCTTTCAAACCGTTCCAGATAGAGGGGTATAGTAAGCGAGCCGATTGTAGGTCTCTGTACAATCTACAATCGGCTCGCTTACTGTACCACTCTAACTTGAACGGTTTTCGAGCTGTGGCCGAAAAACTGTTCCGGTTGTCTGCTGCGCTCCGCCTCGCTCCACCTTACCGCACCGCTCTCCGCTCCGCTCCCTGTCCCCTCCCCGCTCCCCTCTGGGCCGGGCCAGACAAAATGGCCGCCAGCGCGCGACGGCGCCCGCGCTTCTCCGTCAGCCTCTAGGTCTCTAGTGGCAACGTGTGGCAGCGCGTCCCTCACGTCCGCGGCCGCCAACACTACTTGGAATGCAGCACCAGTTCGCGACCTCGCCGTCCTAGCCGTCCTCAGTCTTGTTGTTGTTTTTATTTGTTTGCCTAGT